CGTCGAATCGTCAACTCAAGCCGTGCAGACAGACAAGTTAACATTTACTTAGTCTCCATACGAAAGGCACCTTTGCTATCGTGGCATGAACGGACGGTTCTGAGGCATCTTGCGACGTTGAAGTTGATGGGCGAGGTTGTATGGCGTTGAGGGGTTAAGCCCACACAGAACAAAACCTTACTGCGTGCAGGATGAACAAATCACCCGATAAACGCAATGGTCGTCTGCAGGCGTACCGGTACTCAACGGCTAACAGTCGCTTGTCGTTAGACTACCGGTATTATAGTACCGCACCACCAGCTGCCGCACCACCAAGCTATCACGCAGAGTCATGTGATCGAAAAACTGGCTTTTCCTACGTCGCCCGCCGTATCTACGGTTTCCCTGGCATGCATACCCTTCATGCATGCAATGGCCCGTGCGCTCTGCTCAGTATACTTGTTGTGGCTCTTCAAGCGGCTGTACAACGTGTTCTCAACCACGCGAGCTTTGTGTGCTGCATGAGCCACTTTGCCTCAAACATTGTATATATGACGTGGCAACGCGAGAGACATGTAGGGCTAGGGCTGGCCTGTTTGGCGATGCGCACACTTGGACGCACACTGGACATTCCCCAACTCGACCGACTGAGTGCTCGCGTTGACGTTGCTGTCAGGGTGCACGAGAAGCACTCGGCGAGAAATGTCGATCGAGGTCCCTCTGCACACAACTAGGTCCACGCGCAGGGGACGACGACATAGACAGGGTGCGTATGCCACTTCTTTGAAGCACACGCGTCCGCCGAGCGACAATATTGGTACCGTCAGCGAGACCTTTTATCCCTTTTCGATGCATTGTGATCAAAGACGCATCGTAGGGGCGCATGCGAAGTGAGTACGTACGCTGCGACTGGACCCGTCATCGTCTGCAGTCATGAGCGCTATCACTAATGCCCATGGCACGAGAGTGCATTGTGCTCAAGCAAGCTGTCCAAGAAGCAGCAGAAAAAGTGCGAAATGACTAGCAAGCTAAAAGAGTACCGGTATACGAGCAGAAGATCAGAAGGTCTGGGCGACGACCACGCCTGCTCGAGCCATTTCCGACGGTGCAATCGCACTCACGAACCAGCCGGCTTGCCACTGGTGAGCACCTGCATGGTCTCTCGAGTCGTTTGGTCTTGAAGAGGAATGAGATGCTACAGTACTCGCGGCATCTATCATACTGTTACCACACTCGAACATCCTTCAAATCAGAGCTATAATACTACCGGGTCGTAGTTGATTCGAATGTGTTAAAAGCGTTAAAAGGAAATCGCTTTTCGAAAGGCGGGGCCGAGGCTGTCTGGGTCGGTCGGGGGAATCGCAGTTGGCAGTGCCAAGCTGAGTTGGGTTGCGTGGGCTGCGGAAATTCCGCGGGTGGCCATCTCGGACACGGTGTAGATCGTAGCCGCCCACTCGAGGCGGTCTTCGTCGTTCAAGAACGAGATGATAAGCATGTCGGACGAGCTCTTGGTGAGGCAGATGCAGAAAGGACGGTCCTTTGTCGATAAATACGAAAGCTTGACGCGGTGCAAATCCATCTCGCCCTTCTCCTTCATGTCGGTCGGGCTCAGCACCTCGTAGTACTTGAGGACGCCACGGGCAACCTTGAAAACGCGCTCATCCCACTTGTCGCGGCCCGACCGCGACTTCTTTGTGAGCGTGCCCGTCTTGGTCGGCGGTAGCACGAGCGTGAGGCGGCGCGGCCACGCTGAGTGCACGTCCCAGCTGAAGAGGTCGGTGTCGTGCTCGCCGCCTTCGGGAATCCGCTGACCGTTCACAAGATACACTTGACTACCAACGACGACTTCCGGCTCGTCGCTGCGCGAGACAAGCCAGACCGACTCGCCCTTGCGCTCCCGCCGGCGAGCGACGGTGATCTTGACGTCGACCTCGCAGGCGTAGACGACGTCGTAGGTGAGCATCGGCATGTGGCTCGCGGCCTCGATGACGGCCTCGGGCGGGCAGTCGCTGGTCTCGGCGCGGGGCTGGCCCAGAAGCTCCGACTTGGTCTTCTTGAGGAAGTTCTTGAACATCCGTGGTCGACTGCGGCGACGGCGACGTGGCGACAAATGACACGAAACCCAACACACCAAATCACCAAAAACACACATTCGCACCCAAGTGCGTGAAAATTCCGCCAGCACATTGCGCCGGATAACGCCGGATACGTGTTTCACACACCGTGTGAAATGCTCGAAAGAAGATCGCCATCAGCAGGCGTCGTGGCCGCTCCAACAGCCATGGCGTGCGTCAGGATAGCCTAGCGTTCTCGTCCAAGGGCCTTCACCAGTGACCTCCCAAGGCCTCTTCTACCTCTAGCAGCAGCGGTGCCATCGATCTGGGCAGTGGCTACCCTGCATCTCGTGCTCCAGCATGGACGACGTGTCCTTGTCCTGCACTAATATTACGTCGGACGCCGAGCCAGCAACCACGACAGCACGCAAGATAAATTACTAATAGAAAGGGCGCTCGTAGCGCATTTGGGTCATATTGAGCCCTTGGCTCGCCATGACGATGCTGCAGTGCAGCACGCTCGCCCACTCGACTTGGTCGCTGAGGGTCGGTGCTTGGAGCACGAGTTTGTCACTCGGCGATCGGCCGAGCACGATACAGAACGGTCGATTCGCAAATGCCGCGACCGTGACCCAGCACCCCGCGAGCGAGAACGCACCGCGGAGAGCGTTGCCCGCCATGTAGCGCAGCTCGCCGTTGGCGACGACGACATCGCGCTCCTTCCACGTCGCCATCTGATGCGTCGCCCGCGACTTCTTGATCAACGTGCCGCGCTTCTTCGGCGGCAAGAGAAACTCGCACGTGAGCGGATAGACAGCGGTCGCGAGCCGCAGGCGGACAGCGTCGCACGTCGTGCCGAGCGAGACACCGGCGATCGTCACGAGCTGTGCCCCGCGCACGACCTCCGACGCGAGCACGGACGCTTCGGTCACGAGGAGGGCCTCGCCGCGGCGGGCCAGCTCCATCGCTTCAAAGTCGCGCTTGCTCCGAAAGGTCACCGGGACACGCTCGAGCGTCTTGGCGAGAACGCAGGCGCGGTCAATGGCCTGCGTGAGGACGCTGGGCGGGCGCGGGTGCTTCTTTTGCACTTGCTGGATCGCGTGGAGCCAGAGATACATGTCGTGCTCGGTCATTGCGCTCAAGTGGAGCTCCAAGTTGTCGGTCGCAATGACAAAGTAGTTGCGTCGGGAATCGGGCGCAAACGGGATGCCACCGCTCACGATGCAGCCGAGGAGCGGTAAATGGCCTTTGGGCGCGCCCTGGTCTTCCGTGTAGTAACACAGCATGGGCAGTTTGTTGTGGATCTCGATGCGGAAGAAGCGCTTGGACCAATTCGTGCGCACGTGACCGCGCTTGTAGAGCACGCCTTCCATGCTCGCGTGGTCGCGCGGGTCTTCGTACGGCGTCCACTTGTGCGCCAGCTCGGCGTCGTCGAGCGTCAAGTGCACCGTGTTGCGCAGTGGATCCCAGCGACCGGTGCGCGCATTGGCACCAATGCTTTCGAGCGCGTGGATCCAACGCGTCATGGCGCGCTGCGTCTTGGTCGAGAAGAGGTACGTGCGCCCAGGCGTGAGCAAAATGAAAAAGTACAGGCGCTCGCTCACATGGGTTTGAATGACAATGTCGTTCTTTGTCGTTGCCTCGACGTGGATCGACCCCTTGCACGTAGCCTTGTCTTCGGCCGTGTAGTAGCGCAAGTACCCGTCGCGCGTGAGCTCAAAGTACCGCCACTTCCACGTCTTGAACTTGTTGCCGCACTTTTCAATCCAGCCGCGCCGGAGGATCGTGTCGGCAACCGGCGGCGCCTCGAGCGTGATGCTGCTGCTGCAGCGGACGGCCGGCGCGTCGTACGTGTCGTCAAAGCTGTCGCTTTGCAGCATCGAGAGTGTCGGATGGATGCGGGACCCGCGGTCAATCCAGTCAGCGGGCTCGACCTCGGGCGTCGAGTCGTCGCTGGTCGCGCCTTGGTCACTGCTGCTGGCGTCGTCGAGCTCGTCCATATTGGCGCTGGTCGTTGAGCTGTTGGCGAGGCTGCTCTTGCGCAGGCCCCACGAGAAGCTGCTGCGGAAGCTGCCGAGGAGGCTGTTGCTCTCGCGCGGCGCAATGGTGCTGTTGTCGTCGTTGTCGTCGTTGGGCGCCATGGCGCGTGGCGCGGTATGGCGAGGTGGCGGCTCCTGCCAGCGCATCTTACGTCTGGGACACAAGGCCGGCTGGTATGATGGCTTGTATTTCTCATTTCTTATTTTCTTTTTATTTGTATGGCAATCCACACACATATCTTTGTTTTTGTATGCTACAACCGCAAACATCGAAAATAATTTAAATGCCATGCGGCTCCAGAAGTGCAATTTCAAATCTGAAATTTCTGGAATCACACCACCATTCCAGATCCAACGCATCGCAAGGGACCTCGTACCGGTAGCTGCAAGCCCATGAGAAGCAGCAGCAGCAGTAGACGATGTTTGCGCTGTGTCGTAATGGTGCTATCCTGCAGCAGGGCGGGAGGAAGGACGACGCGGGCATGCATACAGTGTACGTGCACGTCCTCCGGCTTCGTTGAGCCACCATTTGAAGCTTCCGCGCATTCGCAGCAGGTGCCAGACCTAAATTTTGAGCGCCGCTGAAGTCGCCCTTGGCACGTCGCACGCAGGCAGCGATCTGTGGACAGCTTCCGCGGACGGGACGCGGCAGAGACAGAGCCAGCTCGATGCCATGCATTACTGGCGGGCGTAATGCAACGACGATATCGACGCGCCTCCAAGCTCGCGGCGCAGAACCGGGTGCGAATGCGGCAAGCCACCAGCCGGCGATACCCAGATACATGACCACCTCAAACACTGGATTTAAACAGAATATAGCTGCGATGCTGGATCGCGTTCGACGGTTACGGATCGCCCACGAACCAACCGGTCAGTTACTACCGCGATTGCTTCCGTCCAGCAGCGAGCGACCAGCATGCTGGCGCGCCGAAGCATGGTCGAGCCCGCTGCACCATCGCCGCCAAAGTCGCCGGTACAGCACGCTCCTTGCATGCATCCGCCATACGATGTGTAGCACCGGCGCCGGGGCAACTCGGTGCAAAGCGTGGACTCGCTGGTCGACGCGATGAAGGCCAAGCAGATCGCCAAGCCGCACCTCTCCATCTTGACCGAGTTCATCACAATGAGCCCGATCTCACTGCGCTTCAGCCGCGTAGGCCACGATGTCCGTGGCCTCCTCCTCACGATGGCGCATCTAGGCCAGCATCGAAAAGAGCTTCCTCCTCGAGCACGGAAAGAAGTACGCGGCGCGGTACCGGCCGCTCATGGCCACTATCTGCGGCTTTATGAGCCTCGCCGGTGCCGTCGAGTGCCATAGCGGCAAGGCGACGCTTGGCGGTCTCAAGCTCGCAGTCGCGGCTATCGCTGGCGGCCTCGCTCTCGTTGCCAAGCATGTACGTGCTGTTGGTTGTCGTTCACAGGGTGCATTTGACGACGTTAGATCTTTGACCGCCGATCGCTGCTCGTGCCTGTCTCGGGTGGTGTCGTCGTCGCCGTCTATGTCTGTCAGATCCTCGACGAAGGCGCAGACGCGGCCCTCTTCTTGACCGCGAAACGAGGGGGCGTCGGGCTCGTCTTCCTCCTCTACGTAGCCGTGGGCATTGGCATTGGTATGCGCTTCTTGGCGTCGGTGCAGATCTCGTTTGTGCTCACGCTGCTCGCGCTCATCAACCTGTGGGTGTCGGCCGTGCCCACGCCGCGAAAAGACCAAGTACGACAACTCTATTCTCTCTCTCTCTCTTGTCTCACATATATTTCCCACATGAATTAGGTCGAGTCGACCCTTTACGTTGTGCTCGGCTTTGTGTTTTTCCATTTTGCCATGATTCGGCAAATCGAAATTCATGTATTGCGCGTTCTTTGATTGTTGAAATGTGTGCATAATGATGGATCTAGGAGCGCCGCGAGTTTCGCTTGATCAAACGCCTCACGGCCGAGAACGTCCAAGTGCAAATGCAAATGGAGAATTTCTCCTTGTTTGCCCACGGCATCAACGATTCCGTAGACAGCGAGAGCATGCTACACCACTGCATTAAATGAAATGTGTAGCCACGCGCCAAGTCGGCGCTGGTCTCGCCCGGTGGGCTCTTCTCACCGACCAACAAGATTCACGCCAACGACGTCGAGCTCTTTGACACGATTGGATGTGGTGCCCACGGCGAAGTCGTGCGTGGCAAGTTCAAGTCGACCATCGTAGCGGTACACACTTTGTCGTGTTGTGTGCACAATATGTCTATAGGACACTATTGTATGTAGGTCAAAACCATCAAGGGCGAGGTCAAGGACGAGTACATTCGCGAGATGGGCGTCGAGTCGACGCTCATGGCGGACTTGCGGCACCCCAACATTGTCATGTTTATGGGCATGTGTCTCTTCCCGCCCATGATCTTGATGGAATACTGCTCGCGCGGCTCTGTCTTTGACGTCCTCCACGTCAAGTGCATCTCGTTGGATTGGAGCCTTCTTTTGCGCATCCTCTTGGATGCCAGCCAAGGCATGGCCTTCTTGCACCAGGTAGACTCGATGCATGTCGTACGTCCATCCTTCAAAATGGAGTGTGTTAGTACAAACCGCCGATCATCCACCATGACCTCAAGAGCCTCAATATGCTACTGGACCCGAATTGGCGCTGCAAGGTCTCGGACTTTGGCCTCAGCCGCTTCAAGAAGAAGCACATGATGGACTCGCAGCACACAATGGGAAGTATACCGTGGATGGCACCCGAAGTCTCGACCGACAACCTCCTCACGGAGAAGGTCGACGTGTACGCGATCGGCATCATCATTTTCGAATGCTTGACGAGCGAAATGCCGTACCCCGCGATTCCGATTCAAGGCATCCCGCACCTCGTCGCCAAGGTTCCCCCCGCCATCAGTATCCTCAACTCAATGCGGAGGTTAGGGCCGGCGCCCGACCGATTACGCCAAACTGGAAAACATCCCGTCCGAGCTCGACGGTCTTGTGGCCCTCATGAAGGCATGCTGGGTACAGTCCGTCTACATATCGAGACAAGGTTGCACACTGTGAGGTAGGCGCCGAGCCCAGCCGACCGCCCCGACTTTGATTTGATTGTCGACACCATCGAGCTCCACGTGTGTCCTGCCTTTTTCAAGGATGCTACCATGGCCGACGCGATCGTCTACCCGCGGGACCGCAATCAGTCGCAGAGCCAGAAAGAGCAAGACATTCTTATGGCCAATTTGTGCTTCAACATTAAGGAGTCCGAGCTCGTGCTCGGTACCAAGATTGGCGGCGGCAGCTACGGCGCCGTGTACGCAGGCAAGTGGCTCGGCACGGACGTGGCCATCAAACAGGTTGATGTACACAACGTGTCTCCTCATACGCCAACTAGTATATGCTAGCTATTCCTTAATGCGCTCGGCGAGAAAGTGCTCAAGGATTTCCACAAAGAATGCGACCTCATGCGTCAATTGCGCCATCCCAACATCGTGCTCTTCCTCGGCAGCAGCGCGCAGCCGCCGAATCTCTTCCTCGTGACGGAGCTCCTCGCCAAAGGCAGCCTCTTTGACATTTACCACGCCGAGAGCCGCATCGAGGATGCTAGCAAGCACTACAAGCGCGTACTGCAGGTACTACACCCTTTCATACCCTAGCCCTAATGGGGCCAGGCGGCCGCGGACATGGCACGGGGCATGGCCTACCTGCACAGCTTGTCACCGCCGCTGATCCACCGCGACATGAAGGTGCGTGGAGCGCTCTTTGGCAATGCACAAAAGCGTGTCCTCTTCTAGAGCCCCAACATTATGGTCGATTCGCACTGGGTGGCCAAGATTGGTGACTTTGGCCTCTCGCGCATCAAGGTAGTCGCCACGCGACATGGCGGGTAGTAAGCTGGTCTAGGACGAGACCAAGACGATGACCAAGTGCGGGAGCCCGCTCTGGGTCGCGCCCGAGATCCTGCAGGGCCACCGCTTTGCCGAGGGCTGCGACATCTTTAGCTTTGGCATCATTGTGTGGGAGGTCGTCTCGTGGAGCGAGCCGTATCCGGACATGAGTTCCAAGGACGTGATGCGCAATGTTGCGATGAACGGGCTGCGCCCAGCGATTCCCGAGAGCTGCCCGCCCGACCTTGGCCTCCTCCTCGGCCAGTGCTGGCGCAACGAACCTGTGCGTGTCTCCTCCTCGATGTCGTTGATCGCGTTAACTATGTAGGACGACCGTCCATCGTTTGCGGTGATTCTCGACCGCCTCACAAGCATGCAGCGGGTGCTGTCTCGCGACATCTAACTCTTCAAACAGCCAATGCAATACTATGCGTATTGGTGATGGCGTTGGACGTTTTGGACCGAGCGAATGACACTTGGTCGCATTGACCGTCATAAGTGGACAAGCCGTCATACGTGCAGCGGGCTGGATATGGAAAATGTTACTGACGGGTCTGTAGCAAGGGTACCCTTGGTTTGTTGTGACGGTGATGGCGTTGAAAAGGACCGAAAGCTCGCTGTACGTCAAAGCAGCAACAATATAGGCCTTTCTCCACGAAGGACAAGAGTGGTCATCGCTCTTAAAATGGTTGGAGGGCTTGACGCACCGAGTACCAACCTCTCGCACCTGCTGATAGCAACCACGCAGAGCGACAGTTCTACCACACTGGTGTTGCCAGATTCCGTGTCTGGTACCTCGCGTGGGAATCTGGCACGGAGCCAAGGCTGCTCTGACACTGAAGTGTCGATCAAGTGAGTCGATACAGGCTTCAGACACCGTACGAGCATGACTGCGCACGTGCCTCTGGTTCGTTTTTGTTGGGTCGTGGGCGGATTCATTAAATGTCCATGGTCGTGCCACGTCAAGTACGATATGATTGGTCAAAATACTTACCATTATGGCACAATCACGTCTCGGATTGGCTGGATGGGCGCATTCCAAGCAAGCGTTCAAGATGCTTCGCGTCCTTCCTGCGCTGCGCCGCGTCGTGCCCAGCGGTGCGTCCTCTGCAGCCTCGCGCCTCTGACGCCGGCGTCGACGTAGGCGCGCGCGGCCTCAGCTCGACCCGCGTGACCCCGCGCGTGTACTCGTACGGCGATGGCTACCTCGGGACGCTCGGCCAAGACAACTTTGACGCCGTGGTCGCGCCAACGCCGATCGCACCGTTTGACAACGTCGAGATCGCGTCGCTCTCGTGCGGCTGGTAGCGCCCTCTCGTGGTGTAGCACCTTGTACCCACACACGGCGGTGTAGGGCGCACACGGGGCTTCTCGACGTCGACGGCAACGCATACGTCTTTGGCCGGTCGCACCACTTTCGCAACGTGATTCGCTCGATCAACATGCAGCGCATGGTGCCGTACTTTATGAAGTTTGTCAACACGGTCGGCGGCGAGCGCACGGTCGAGGCCTTTCGCCCGACGCTGGTCGACTTGCCGGCCAAGACGACGGCCATCTCGTGCGGCGCCGCGCTGAGTCTCTACTTGACCGAAACAGGCGACCTCTACAGCAACGGTGGCAACTCGTACGGCCAGTGCGGCATTGGCAACGAAAACACGAGCGTGTGGGAGCCCACGAAGCTCAAGTTGCCGCCGGTCGCGACCATGGCGGCCGGCTTCCAGCACGCGCTCGCGGTCACGACGAACGGCCAAGTCTACGGCTGGGGCAAGGGCGAGCGCGGCCAGCTCGGCTTGTATGATGACCGTGCTCTCTATCGTCGTGTCTGATGCGACATCCGTTTGTAGTGGCACGGTCAACGTCAGTGCGCCCCAACACATTGTTGCCCTCCGCGAGAAGAACGTGGTGGAGGTCGGCGCCGGCTTCAACCACTCGGTGGCGCTCACAGGTAGCGGCTATACAGGGTCGTACGCATGGACAATGTGTGCAATGGATTAGACGCGGGCGAGGTCTTTGTCTGGGGCAAGCTCCTTGGCGCTGACAAGTACGGTCGCAAGACGGGCGAAGACCAGATCACGCCCCGCCTCGTGCAGACGGCCGCACCCGTGACGCACATCAAGACGAGCTTCTTCCACACGTTCATGGTGACGGGTACGTCGCTGCAAGTGTTGCTGGCGTTGGCTAAAGCCTGCATGAAGAGGACGGACAGCTGTGGTGCATGGGCCGCAGCCAAGCGAGCCAGCACGCCGAAGTGGCGCAACGCAAGTACCCCGAGACACATATTGCGCCGCATGCGATCGACAACAGCTTTCTGCGCGGTCGGCGCATCGTCCATCTCGGTGGCGGTGTGCACTCGACGTCGCTTGTCACCGGTATGACAACATTCCTCATGGACGTCGGCGCATGAAACGATCGATGGTAGACGACGGGAAGGCGTTCGAGTGGGACTGGGAGCAAGGGTTCCGCGCCATCAACGCCACGAAAGACCTCCACGTGCTCGCGTTCGAACGCGGTTATGGCACCAACTTTGTCCTTGCCAAGTAGATTGGGTTCGTTTGCGCGACCATAAACGACCTACGGCGATGTGCACTAGAGACGGATGCTTTTGTTTGAGATTTCTGCTTCGAACTGCGATCGACAGCTAGAAGGCGCTCTCGGGTTGCCGAACCGCTACCAGACGCGTCATGTGGACGGTGGTCACGCGCACGGTAGCTGCATCGCAACTGATCCACAAGAAACGACAACGGCTCGTTGCGCGGGCATCTTGGACGGAGACGAGTCAACTCAACAATCAATGGTCCTGGCTGCTGCTAAAGTGCCATGTCATTCTATAGAGTTCTTGTGGAGGATAGTGCCGAGCGTGGCTCGTGCCATGTCGAGATGTAATAGCTCCGGGCTGAATGCAGCGCGACAACAGTGACTCATCTCGTTAACGCTCCCAGACCTGAAGGCGGATAATCCGCCAACGATAAACTCGATGCAAAGCTCCAGTCGCAGCTGCCATATGCTCGCGTGCCTACCCACGCTACTCTTGCGCATCCCCTCGTATCGTAGGTATACGAGTATTCTTCTACCATGCGCATCGCTCGCCTAGAGGTCCGAGGTCGTCGCACTGTGATCCAGACGACTGCGGTCCATCGCTTGGATCCTCGCCGCAACAGCAACTTCAACGATCGTCCGACGACGAGTAGCCAATGAAACGCCGTGTAGGCACGTGAGTGGCAGCGTATCCGGATGGCGCCTGTCTCCCCCAGAGTTCATTCTTGGGACGCATGGGGCTGCTCGCGGACGCGTCGCTGCTGCCGATGGGGCTCTTGAGCCTCTACTTCATCCAGGCCTTTAGCCTCAGCTTCCCGATGACGGCGTACATCTCGTGGGTCTCGGACACGATCCACATGTCGCCGGCGACCACGAGCTTTTACTACGCGCTGACCTTTTTCCCGTGGAACCTCAAACCGCTCTACGCGCTTCTCTCGGACAACGTGCCGCTCTTTGGCTACCACCGCAAGTCGTACATTGTGATCTGCGAAGTCATCTCGTGCGTCTGCATCCTCCTCACCGGTCTCTGCGTGCGCAGCGTCACGGGCGCGTTCCTCGTCAAGTTTCTCGACTCGGCCTGCGAGGCCTTTACGCAAATGATGCTGGGCATCGTCCTCGTCGACGTCGCGTCCGGCGACCGCGAGAAGAGCAGCAACGTGCAGTCGTGGGCCAATGCGGCCAAGAACGGCGCGTCGATCGTCGCGCTTCTCGCGGGTATTCCCGTCTACGCGATCAAGGACCTCCCAGCCACCACGGTCATTACGTGGTCGTCCTTGATCCCGCTGCTTGGCGTTCTCATTGCGATCTACCTATTGCACGAAAACAAGTCGGCCACGCTCGTCGCTACGCCGACGCACCACCCGTCGTCGCTGACGGAATTACTCTCGATCAAGTGGCTCGCGCTGAGAACGACCGTCGCCCGCATGCTCCACGAGCAAGCTGCGTACATTCCAGTCATGGTCTTCTTCTTCCTCTGCTCGGCGCTACCGAGTGGCGGCACCGTCTGGTACCAGTACACGTACTTTCTACTGAAGAACGAGCTGCAGTGCCTTCAGTACTCGTCGCTGGCCGGCATGGTGGGCCGCGTCGTCTCGTGTGCGATCTACGCACGCTGCACGCGCGGCGTCGGCATCCGCACGGTGTTTGGTGTCTCGACCGTGCTCATGACGCTCGCGAGCCTGCCGCAGCTGCTGCTGGCGCCGCCTATCGACGTGGCGAGTCTGCCCGTGGATGTCTGCACGTTCTGCGCGATCGAGTCGTTCGTGACGGCGTTTGCCGGCGAGTTTGCGCTCCTCCAGCTCCTCGTGGTGGCAACGACCTTTTGCCCGCGCAAGAAGGAGCTCCACGGACTCACGTACGCGCTGTACCTCTCGTTCATGGACTTTGGCGGCGTCGTCAGCGCCTTCTTCTCGGCGCTCTTGGTGTCGGCCCTCGGCATCACCCAGGATCCGGTGACGTACGCGATTGACTATAGCAACCTCTGGCTCTTGCTCGTGCTTGGCGCGATCTTCCAAGTTGCCATCCTCGCCTTCTTGTGTCTCCTTCCGCGCCAGCTGGAAGACGCGAATAGTGGCGACGAGCCGGAAGCCCAAGCTCTCTTGGCGCCGTCCGAGGCGTAGAAATGCGATGGACCTATACTAGAAGAGTGTCTCGAATATTATTGTGTGCAGAGACATCCACGTCTGTTATTTGTCGATGCGTCTAAGGTTCAAGTCATATTTCGTGCACGAGTACGTTCTAGAGAGCTCTACGTGATGGAGACGTCTGCGATACTCAACGAGATCCAAGAGCACTTGGACTACGTTGATGACTGGGCAGCGGACAGCACGCTGATTCTTCACTTTGATGTGGCAAGGGTTCTGGCGCTCGTAAAGCTCCCGTCGTCTAATCTACATGACTGCTGTCGATTCACTCGTCGAGATGTACAATTGCAAACTGATCGATGTAGGCGCACGACTGCGCAGCTTCAACACATGAACAATGTAACCAATACCAAGATCGACTCGACGACCGCTGCAGCGCCGGCTTGAACGCATCACCGACGTCACTTGGAGTCGTGTGCGTGTAAGATATAATGGTATATCGAGGGCGTGAGGGTAGCATGGCAACTAGGCGTCGAGACGAGGGCGCTTTAACGGCGGTTGCGCGTCGTTCATGTCCGCCGCCTCGATCGCGCGCACCGGCTGGAGAAGCAGCTGGAGCTTCGCGACGGCCTTGGTGTCGCGGTGCAGATGGCTCAGGCGTTCAATGTGATGCTCGAGACCCATCTTGCGGCCAACCTGCGTCGTGCGCTTCCGAACGACGTATGGGCCCCTCATCGCCTCGCCCATCGAGTTGTTCCCGCCACGCACGTCGACACGGAAGAGATCGTCCGTCATGGGAAAAATAAGCTCGACGTCGTCGTGGTGCAATCCGAGCTGGCCTTGATGGCTGGCAATTTCATCCAGGAGTGCCTCGCAGAGACCAGCAAACTCAAACTCAATCCGCGTGCCATCACGCAAAAAGACGACAAACGCAGCGCACTGCGCGCAGTGGTCGACGTCGACGGCAATGTCATCGATGACGACATTGCTCACGTCGGGCACGGGCGCCCGGTCTTTGTGAAAGTTGGCCAGACACTGCGCGGCCAAGTCCGAAATGAGGCCAGTGTCGTGCGGGAGCCGCTTCGTCGCCTCGACGACGACAGAGTAGAGCGCGTGGCGGGTGGCATCCAGCGTCTCTGGTAGCGCCGCAGCCCACGCGAGGCCGAACGTTCGCACTTCGTGTGGCGCCACGAGCGTGAGCACATGGAGGGCGTCGACGACACTCTTGACCGACGGGGCGAGGGCCTTGCTTTCTCGCATGCGACCGAAGGCGTCGGTGACGGTAAATGACGGTGCGATCGAGAAGACGTAGCTGGCCACGAGCGACTGCACACGGGACGCGACTGCGGTCGCCGGGTGCTGGAGAAACCGCAAGAGGCCAGCGATGAAGACTTTGCGGCCACTAAAGTGGCGCATAGCGGTAAACAGCGCCTCGTCGCAGTGGCCAAGCGTGTGCATTGCGTCGAGCACATCGCGCACGTACGCTGTCTGCAGAGAGATCGTCGTCGGTCGATCTCGCCACGCCGCGTGCCACCACCCATTCAATGCCAAGGTTCCGCGTATCCGACGAAAGCTCGGGAGCACGGTAACGACCTCGTTGATCTTGGTCGAGATCGCCGCCAAGTACTTTGGCCGATGCAGCGTCGGCTGGCGCGCAATTGCGTCCACGAGGCCCATCGAAAGGCTCCGGAGCTTATCCGTCAGCGTAAGCCCGCTGCTCGCAAGCACGTCGCCAAACGGGGGACGGAAGAGGTAGCTATCGACGACGACGACGAGGGCCGGTGGGAGGCGCAGGCTGATCCAGTTGCCGTGCGGCATGTGGGGCGCCACTTTGTCGATGTACCAGTCAAGAAGGATCCAGTAGTGCATGTTGGAGCGAGTGTTTTGGTCCTTCAAGTACCCGAGCAGGACGCCCGAGAGCAACTTGACGAGCTCGCACACGAACGGCTGCTCCAGCGGCGGGCACAATGCATCATCACCGCTCGTGAGGCCCGCGAGACTCGCGAGGAGACGACAGAGACTGTCTATTGCGCCCTTGGAGCGCTCGAAGAGGCCTTGGAGCGCAGAAAAGAGTGGGATCCAGCCATACGACTTGAGGAGCGCGTGGATGCAGATGCCAACGCCCCTGAGATCCTTCGTACGCCGAAGTCAGAGCGCGTTGCGGAGCAAGAGTCGCACGAGTGCCACGTCGTTGCACTGGACGAACACTCTCGTGATGGCGGTGAGTTGCGTTGGCTGAGGTTGGACAAGCACCACGGCCGAAAGGACGCCAAGCAGCAAATCGCGGACGCTCAGCCCGAGGCGATCGCCCGGAACGTTGTCGATGGCCGTTTGCGCAAGCGGCAATGTAGCGTCGAGCCCTACGATACTCGCGCGGAATGGCGTCGGCCAAAACACGATCGCGCAAGATGGGGTCGCCCTGCTGACGTCACCGAGGTACGCGTGGACCCTCTTGTCGGGAAGACGTGAGGCGACGTTGGTTGGGATCCCACACGCTGGGTGCGGCTCGACCATCGAGAGGAAGTTGGTGTACCCGCCCTGTTGGTCGACCTTGAAGCTGACGAGGGCGACGTCAAAGCGGCCGGTCGCTACGAGGACGTCGACCAAGGCCGCGTCCACTCGCTCGAGACGATCAAAGGAGAGGTTGTCGCGCATGCACGGGATCGGAGCGGCAATGCGCTGGAGCGCGAGCGGCGGGTCGTCGGCGATCGAGAGAAGGGCAGCGACGACGTCGTCGCGGGTCGGTCGACGCTCGGCGGCGCTTCCGTCCAGGTCGCCAGCGTACTGCTGCTGCTGCATGAAGTCGGCGGCGGCGCGGTCCTCGATGGCCATCGACCGGCGGAGCAGGTCCACGGCCGCTTCGTACGCGGGAATCGCTGGGTTCATGCTCGGCCCGCGCAAGCGTTTTGACACTCACTCTCAAATGGAGCTGCTGTGATTGGCCAATATTTGGCCCATTTGCGGCAACCAAACGGAGCCAGGCGGACATCGCGGGAGACGGTAGCAAACCAAGCCGACTGCGCCAAAAATGAAATCCTCAGAGTTCTTTTGCTGGCGATAACGTGGTTGAGAACACAGCTTTCCAAGCGAACCACCTTGACGCCCCAATGACCGTTCAAATCGATAAAGTGCTCCATTCGTGCCCGATGTGGAGCCGTGTTCAAGCCTCTCGAAACCATTTGCAGCATGCATGACGTGTACTAGTACGACGACAGAACATCCTCAGAGTATCAAGGTACTCGTATTCTAACCTGTTGCTTCAAGCGTTCAAGTTTTAAAATGAGCGTCCTGTGGCATCCAAGGGAATCCGACCCAAAACCAGCGCACAGTTGGCTGCGTGGCTCGTCGTCAACCCTAGTATTCTTCACAATGGCAAGGTAGCTCAGCGCCTTTATTATGCGCACCTGTGCTTTAAGCTCGGCAATCAACTGGTATTCTTGCGGCGTACACGGTCGTGTGGCAACGCTACCAGGTCTCATTCTAGGACGGTACTACGTTCCGCACCGACCATGTCGCCAAGTTTACGATGCAGCTCTCGCCCATGGCCGCGTCGTCGCTCGTCGACTGGGCGATCGCGAGGGTTGTGTTTGAACGCTCGGGCAAAGTTACACGCGTTGGCCGTCGCACCCGTGTCGAGGATAATGAACTTGAGGACCCCGTCGTCTTTGCGAGGCTCAGAGCCTGGGTTGAGAACGGCGTACAAATTGGCGTCGCTCTCGGTCTTGATACCTCGATGACCCGGCTTGCCTTGACTCTTCTCCTTGAGAAAAGATTTCTTGTCGTCTTCTTGAGCGAATCGGGCCTTCTTCTTCGTCTTGCATGTCGACTGGTAGTGGCCCGTCTGCTGGCAGTTGTAGCACGTGATGTGCGAGAGGCCCTTGAACTTGCGCTTGTTCTTAGCATGCATAAAGTTGATCAGCTCGGTCATCTGGTCTGCATCGTTGATCGACGCCACACGCTCGTGCTCGACCATCGACGTCTTCCCCGAGGCCACGGGTGCGGGCTCACCCCACTTGTGCTTGTCGATGTCGTACTGCGCGCGCAGGTACGTCATGTAGTCGCTCGGTGACGCACGCTTGGCCGCCTTTCCGTTGTAGCGCAGGCCAATGTCGATGTATGCACTCGTGTGGATGAGGAGCATCTCCTTGCTTGCTTCCGGCTGCATTGGTCGCCCCATGTCGTGCAGCCGCTTCTCGAGCACCTTGTACGTCGTGAGGTACGCGTCCATCGTCATCCGACGCGGGTCGAACTCGGCTTTGTGAAGCTCGCCCTTGACCTTGGTGATCTCTCTGCGCACGTACTTCTGCAGCAGATAGTCCCACATTTCTTTGGCGGTCTTGAAAGTACTCGTCTCTCGCTTGTTCGTCACATCAAGAGACGTCGTGATGACCTTCCTGGCCTTCACCATGCCGCGCATGTAATCTTTGTACTTGAACGGCTTCTTGTGCTGACTTGGCTTCTTGTGCTGACTTGGCTTCTTGCGCTCGCCCGAGACAATATCCCAGATCTCTTGCTGCGCGAGCACAGACTTCACGTCTGCGCTGTAGCTACCAAAATCGGTGCCATCGAATTTTGGAATCTTGTCTGGCGGAGCGAGTCGACCGCTCGCTTTGTAACGTTGACCATTGTCGCTGGAACTCGAGCAGTCGTCACCGCTCGAGTTACTTGGCGGCGCATCCGAGCTGCTGCTGGTACTGTCGCCGCCGTCACCACAGCCGCCATGAGCTTTGCTCGACTTCTTCTTCTTCTTTGCTTTCTTCTTCTGCGCTTGGACCTTTTTGCTGGGGGACCCACCGCCCCGCTTGGGTGGGGTTTCCTGGCGTTTGATCTTCGCATCGGCACTCGTGGTGCATTCCTTCTCGCTTTCTTCAATCGTCTTGGCGACATCCCGACGTTCCGCGAGAATCTTCTTAAGCAGAGCGTCGACGTCGTGCAAAAGCTTCTGCCCCTTCTCGAGTGGATGCGTTGGGCTCATCACCTCAGAGAATCTACTATCCGCGCCGGTCTGGAAGACACTCGGAAAGGCACAGCAAACTGCAGGCCGGTGCTAGTGCACGCACTTCTTAAAAGTGAGCCTCCTTCTAGTTGACCTCGACGGTCCACCACTCCTCCTCGAGAACCACACATCCGTCCATGTGCAGTCCCCGCACCTTCCCATATTAATATTGTCATCATTCGACGTCGCGTCCCACTTGGTCATCCGCGTCGACCCAAGATCCAAGCACAGACGGGAAGCTCCAGACATACATCAAAGCAGTAGTCGTGTTTGTTGATTTCGCCAAGTGCGCTTACCCCCCACACGTACTCGCGCTGGGCGCCGTGCCATTGCACGACACTGAGCTGTGAGCGGTATAAAGGCCAACCACACACCGACGATATTGAGAAGCGCTCGAGCCCGGCCGCGTTCGCACTTGATCTCAGGAGAAAGCGGTAATTAGACTACCAACCCCGATCGAGAACGCTTCGAACGTCCTTTTCCAGTGGCGGAGCACGGCGTGGTTCGAGGTCTAGAGACGAAACACCATGCTTTGGATCGCGGCGAGGCAGCTCATGAGCAGCTCTGCTGTCGGCGCCATGAAGGCACGCCAAGCACGAGGCACGTCTTGGCGTCTCGCAAGTTGCCAGCGCCAATAATGCTACGCGACAAGTATGTATAATAGATCTGCGCTGCACCTTGGTATTCCCATCCCGCTGCCCGTTCTCGATACGCGACCGCGGAAGTTGAGCATGAGGACGCGCTGTTCGCAGCACTTTTGCGCCTCTCGACCCCACCGATTTGAAAGCAATCTTTTTCTATACGCTGATTGGTGCACTTCAACCAATCAAATCCATGGAGGTCGATCATGCCAAGCGAGCTATCCGACCAGCCTCTCAAGCCTCTTAAAAAGTGCCCGACGTTGCGGTTTTGCGTCTTTCCTCGTATGTAAGCTCATAACGCCATACTAGTACTAGTATTGAGCTAGGCTCTTAAAGGTGTTTTCCTAACCAGTCAGAGCAGATAGTATCGTCGTGAAGAAGAGGCGTCGTCTTCCCGTCACTCAAAGCGACAAGCATGGCGCGGGGACGTCCACGCAAAGCTACGTCAACGATGGACGATGGTCGCCTGTTTTTGCTCTGACAAGACCGTCTCGATCGGGAACAATCTGATTATGCATGCGCGTCGCGGGTTAGAAAAGCATTCGGTAATGCTTTTAAGACGACACTGCACTGTACTATTAATACATGTAGTACGCGTGAGCCGTCTACCCATCGGCGGATGTGCATCCCCGTGTCTTTACCCCAGCGCCGTAGGCAAGCTGTTTTCGTCGGCGTGACGTGAAAAAGGCCAGCAGTGGGCGAAAGCTTTTCCATTCGTGATTTCACTTTTCAATTTCCTTTGAAACAAATATGGGTCTCCACATCTCGGTCATGCTCGCGGTCTCGGCCATGACGCTGGCGACAAATGATGTTGCCCACGTCAACGCGGCGCCCTCCAACACGACGTCGGGCATCGAGGCGGTCGTCCAGGGCTTGCCCTTCAACCAGTATGCCATCATGCGTAAGCCACCGCCCTCTGGTCTTCACGTCAACGATTTTTTCCCATTCTACCCCCCCACATTTCTGCAGATTTGCGGCAGTACCGTCAAGCTGACAAACTATGACGCGTGCGGCGGCGGTGCGTGGCAGGTCTATCAGTCTCCCGAGTCCAACAAAATCGATCAGCTGCGTCATGTCGCCTCGGACCATTGTCTCGACGCGTACTGGAGCGACAAGGACCAGCGACCGCTCGTCCACGGGTACCCCTGCAACTTGCAGAACGGCAACCAGCACTGGGAATTTAACCCTGGGTGGAACACCCAGCTCGGGCACCGCCGGTACCAAGATTGGGTCTTGTACGTCGACGACACCTCTGGCGTTAAAATGGTCCACCGCAAGAGCTTCGATGCCACCACGGTGCATGCCCGTTTTGAAATGGTCCATTAATTTCAACCCGATGGGTAAACTTGCCAACGAACGGACGCGTCGACCGTTATTTTAGGTACTGATACTATAATGACGGTTCGCTTTCTATACATGACAACTTGTACGGCGGTTTTTGTCCAGCGGATGGACTCGTTGCCTCGGGTTCTTGAGCACTTCGCTCAGATTGCCGACATGACGGGTCTTTAGGTCCACCTCGACAAGTCGTTTGGCATCTGTCGGGACAAGACTCACGCGCTCGACAACTACCGCGGCCTCCCGCTGCTCCAGCCGACCGAGCGGCGTCGGTACCTTGGCTTGATAGTTGGTCTCGGCGACTTGGCAGCAGTCATAAGGTTGCTCTGGTTATTGTCTGCTCGTGCTGCCAGCACATCAGACCACTCGATCCCATTGGTTCCATCACATGAAACTGTCGCGTAACAGTAGTCAATCAAATCCATATCAAGTGGCTCTAAATGAGCTCTCGAGTCCGACGTCGCGGCCTGGCATCGTTTTTCGCACGCCTCCTAACGGCATGCTGTACAAGGTCCTGATGGCGTGGATCCCAGCCAGTCAGAGCAGATAGCCTCGTGGTTGAGAAGAGATATCGTCGTCCCGTGATGAAGAGCGACAAGTGACCATACGACGCACCAAGGAAATTCCCTCAATACGCACGAAGCTGCGTCAACAAACCGATGCACTGTTTTTGCGACGGCGCCCACTCGCGTGCGGCCAAGGGAATACCTGGTAAGTAAGTTTTCCCTTGCGTGCGGCCGTCTTCAACATGGACAAATCTGATCATCCATGCGTGTCTGTGCTCTCGACACCTATCATTGCCCGATCATCCACGGGACCTGCCATCGATAGGACTGGTTTGAAGAACGACCGGTACAATAATGTAATGCTAGCAGACGAGTCTACACTGTATGCGTCGATACTTGAGCTATGCAACGGCTTGAGCGGTTGTCGGCAGAGACGGAGAAGGGCTCGCACCCATCGACATGCAGTGTACCCGTGTCTTTTCCCCAGCACTCGTACCGGTACGCGCGTCCGTCGAACGACGCGAGCCAATGAGCCGTTTTCGTCGGCGTGGCGAGAAAAAGGCCAGCGCACCATAGCTCCTCCACTTGGATTTCACTTTTCAATTTCCTCTGAACCAAATATGGGCCTCCACATCTCGGTCATGCTCGCGGTCTCGGCCATGACGCTGGCGACAAATGATGTTGCCCCCTTCAACGCGGCGCCCTCCACCACAACGTCGGGCGACAACGCGGCCGCCCAGGACTTGCCCAACAACCAGTGGGCCAGCCATCACGAGCTGGCGCCGAGCAACAACCTCCGCGAAGCTGGCTTGGTGCAAACGAACAACAACTAGCGATAGTACTTCATGCACCGTGATTTAGGCTAACGAAAGACGGTAACCTTAATGACATCCATATGTGTTTCATACTCGCGGTACACCACGACACATTGTCCTGACATGATGTGAACCTAGTATTCGAGGCACGCATTGCTTGCCCATTTCATCTATCTATCTATCTATCTATCTATCTATCTATCTATCTATCTATCTATCTATATATCTATCTATCTATCTATCTATCTACCCATGACAAGAATCGGGTCTCCACACATTCGAGTGCTAGCAGAGTCAACCCTCTCCTCTATCTATGCCGTGTACCGACCGGTAATACAACGAGATCGAGATGCCTGCATGTTTTTGGCTACAAAAGGTGTGACGGAGACGGCCGAGAAGGCTCCAGCGGCAACTGGTCGGTGGCAAAAACGTCGCCAAGGTCGGTCAAATCGAGGTCTGAGATCGCGAGGGTATTCGTGCCCGTGGCAATCCCTGCAGTGCACTGCTTGCGTAGTAAGCTGGCTGGCGCCAACGTCTGTTGCTTCTTCATCGGCTGTGGCGTCGTCGCGGAAGCTTGTCGCTTCCTCAAGCACGCCGGCGATGTACTGGTCTCTGATTGCGGCGCGTGTGGAGTCGCCATTGCGCGGCGCGCTCGAGGCACGGGTGCAAACCCGGCTGTGCCAGCGTGCACGCCTTCCAGTATACCGCTCAGCGCCTCGTAAAGTGGCTCACTAACCGCTGTCAAGCTGCTTGGGTCCTACAAGAATCGTTGATTCACCCATGTGCAAATGACGTGTGTTTCGTACGCGCAGGAGCTGCGTGCGTACTGCATCGTTGGCTTGGCGCAAGTGACAGCCGTACTGGATGGTCTCGACAAGGTGAGCTCGCAGCTTGGTTGGCGGGCACTCTACTTGCTGCATGACGCGGCCGGCAGCTAGCGCGCACGCCTTCGTCTAGAAGCGATATGACATCAAGAAGTCTGTCGCTGCTTGCGTAGCTTCGTACAATGGCGGTGGGCGAGTGTGTGCCATCCAGGGTACGTACACACTGCTCTGTCTCGTGCACGAGCTTGGTGCCCATGGTCTCGATGAAGCGGACCGTCACGTCGCGGAGCACCTCGAGCGAATGTCGCCGTATCGCATCGTAGCCTGCATGCGCCGCACTGACCGCACACCACGCTTCAACGTGTTGCAGGGCCTCGTTCGCCATCGATGGCTGCGCAGCCGACGGCAGTGGCCGCACTGGGCGGAGTGCCAGGGCCGGGATCGGTGGCACAGCGTCCGCCGTCGGCAAGCTCCGCGCACGCAGCCGCCGCTTTAGCTCGACCAGACGAGAACTTAAGTGTACGCTTTCGCGAATCGTCCAAGGCGCTGGTGTGGTCGGCTCGTTGCATGGCTCGGCTGCGTCGGCAGTAGTAGCGTCCAGCTCAGCAGGCCTGTCGTGCGTGCCATTAGCATTCCACGCTCCATCAGCTGCTAGTGCATCCCGTACTCGTCGGCGAACGCAGTCGTCGGTGGGCGCGGCTCTGTCGTCTCGACGAGCGCGTACGGCGCCACGTCGTTGGCTGCGTCCATGGGCAAATCCTGCAAGTCCCATTCGGACCAATCAGCGCACAGCGTCTTGGATCCAAGGTCAACAGTGCGTTAAACTCCGTCTTTTGAAAGCGTCCATTGAAAAACGCACCCTCCCCGTCGCATGTCGCCTTCTCTTCGTTCTTGAAATGAGCTATTCCATGCAATTAGAAAGATAATGTGGACTTTCTAATGCGCTCGTGAGGCGTGGCCGGTGTGTCAAGCGAGATGCGTTGGTGGTCGTGATTCGGGATCGGGCGAGGGACCAGGTAGCGCGCACACCAAGGATCGTCTCGAAGAGCGTTGAGCGACGCCCGCACCTCTCTTCGTTCGCACGTTATTGACATCGACCGTAGGGCAGTACGGTATTACGGCGGTGGACCTGCTATTGCTGCAAGCGCTTGGATTTCAAAAAGACAGCTGCGAGAAAACTAGCTCTCAGACCGTGACTTGGCCTTTCCAGACAATCTGTCCTCGAAGATAGGGTCAATAACGTACATGCGGCACGGTGCGAGGACGTAAATTGTGGTCTCGACTCATGCATGGTCTCGCGAGAGACGCGATACACTGTATGCGACCGGCCAGTAACACTGTATGCGACCCGCCAGTAGCACTGTATGCGACCCGCCAGCATACGTGGCGGCATAGAAGAGGCATCCGCCACAAGGTTGTCGCTGCTGTGCACCAGGAGTAGATCCACGCGCAGCTGCGGCAAGGTGGAAGGTGCTTCTTTTTAACGCCGAGGTTGCTGCTGCGTCTCATCCTCCGGTCGATTTCAAGACAACCCCTCGATCAGTTTACGCTCACTTAACTAATACAATAACTATAATAGATAATAATTGGGGACCTAAAAGTCCTTGGCCCAGTCGTCGCCGTCGCTCTCGTATGGCTCCACGTACTCGTCCGGGTCCTCGGGTGCGAAATCAAAGCGTGACGTGTCAAACGCACCGTGAAGCTCGGGCACAAAGGGCACGTCGACTTCGTGCGCCAGCAGCTTGTGCCACAACGTGCCTGCGAAGAAGCGGTGGGCCTTGATCGCCCGCATGCTGCTCACACGCGTCGACGGCGCCTTCTCGAGGCACCGGTTAATGAGGCTGCACACGTCCGGGTGCTCTTCTTCAAAGCCATTCGGGAACGACACGGGTTCCTCGTTGATGCAGCGCATTTGCTCGCGCGTGTTGGGGTGCGAAAATGGCGTCGACCCAATGCACAGCTCGTAGAGCAGAATGCCAAACGACCAGACGTCGGCGCGCTGGTCGTGCTGGTTGCGGGACACGATCTCTGGCGCCATGTAGTCGAGTGACCCGCACATCGTGCCATTCCGCGTGGCGACGCCATCGGGCTTGGCAAAGCCAAAGTCCAGCACCTTGGGGTACCCTAAAGCGTCGAGCACGAGGTTTTCGAGTTTGAGGTCGCGGTAGATGGTGCCTTGGGCGTGGAGGTACTCGAGGGCCAAGACAATGCACGCCGCGTAGAAGCGGACAGCGGCCATGGGGAGCCCGCCTTGGGGCAGCTTGATCGGCGACTTGGTTTCCGAGTGGACGACCGTGTAGAGCTCGCCACCCGGAAGGTACTCGAGCACCAAGTAGAGGCAGTTGTCGTCCTGGAGCGTCTGGTACAAGGTCGTGACGAATGGGTGGCGAAGGCGCATGTGGACAAAGCGCTCGCGAACAATGTGCTTTTCCTGGCGCATACTCACAATGTACTCTTTCGAGATGACCTTGAGCGCGACGGCGCGGCCGCTTGGCCGGTGGCGCGCGAGCTTAACGACGCCGTACGTGCCAATGCCAAGGATGCCAAGGAGTTCGAGGTCCTTCAATTGCACTACAAGCACGCGTGAGACCATCCATCCAGTTTTCGCTAGAGGGTCGACGCACCGTGCTCAAACGCGATCGTCGCCGGGCTCACAAGACACAGCTCTGGAAGCGCGTCGAGGTCGCAGCTCATGGTATCGGTGCGCGAAAACTTGATCGCAAGCGGCGCGTCGGTGTTGTTGGAGGGCTTCTCATCGACGTCGGGCGTCTCCGAGCCGGTAGAGGCGCCGCTGATGGACGTGGAGACTTCTTGCTTGCCGCGCTTCGCCGAGGACGACGCGGTCACGCGCTTGAGGAGCTCGACGCAGCGCAGCATCATGGTATGCATGTGGCTGGTGGTGGCAGCGCGATGGGCTCGGCGAGATCTTTGCTGGGCCGCCAAAGTTGGGGTTTGTTGTTCGTCGGCGTAATAAAATAGCGGCGTGTGTTGCAATTAAATGCGCACCGATCACTACACTTGGTGTTTGTATGCGATTCGCACGCCAGGATCAAATAAAATACCACCTGGAACTTCGAGGCGCGGCTACAAACACCAAGAGCACCGCAACTTCGTGTTCCGACAACATGTCGCAGCTGGCTACCACACCCTTCGAGGAAATGCATACAAAGCCTAAATGTATCGACAACTCGACACTGGCGCGAGGGGATTGGCTAATAAAAGCAGCCAATCATTGCGCGCTTCGAAGTTCGGCGCCCCAGTCCCATTCGCAGTCGGTCGGCGGCTAGGGTACATATATTCTGTACCCGTGGTCGGGGGAGCGTACTGTACGAAACAGTGTAATATCACAAGGGAGCCAAGACAGAGTCTGCACCCGCGCTGCACCGGCGATGTCGGCGCACTGGCAGCGACAACCGCGCGCCCGCTGCTGCCGGACAGAGGACAACAGCTTGCAACAAGCAACAACATAGGGTGGGACGCGGCAGGTCCGGATCGTTGCCGCTGGATGTTTCGTTCGCGACGCGGAAACACTATATTCGGACCACGCAAATCGTGTATTCTGTTGTCCACGCGGCCACATGGCAGTTCGGATTGCCGCACGATGCTGCCGCATCACAAGTCGCGTCGCCCGGCGCCGAGCGCCGGCGCCATGGCCTACCTGCCGTACGGCCTCGGCGCCATCTTCACCCTCGCCGTCCTCAAGTTCCTCTTCTTCTTTGACCCGATTCCGCTCGAGGATATGCTACCGTTCGTCAACAAGACCATGTACAAGGTGTCGACGCTGCATGGTAGGCGCCAATCGCCCGACCACTACGAACCTCAAGTATGTAGGCGACTTTGTGCTCGAGCTCTTCCCGGACGCCGCGCCGCGCACGGTAGCGCACTTTGAGAAGCTCGTCGCGGCTGGGTTCTACACCAAGGACGCGGGCTTCTACCGCGCCGAGCCCGACTTTCTCGTGCAGGCCGGCGGGTTTGTGCACGACAAGCCGTCGCCGTTTGGTACGGTCGACGTCGAATACAAGTACGTCGTTTCTCGTCCTGCTGGCTGCTCAGCGCCGCGTAGCTTGCCGAGCGAAGAGCGCACGCTCGTGCTCGCGCGGTCCGCCGACCCGTCGTCCGGCAGCACGGAGTTTTCCATCATGCTCACCGACAACAGTACGTCATCGGTCTTATAGCGACACACGTAACGCTGTGTAGCGGCTATCAACGCACCCAGCGACACCTCGCCGGGCTACACGGTCTTTGGCCGCGTCCACGCTGGCTACCCCAACGTCAAGCTCTTGGCCGACGTCATGTCCGAAGGCTACTTGGCCAAGAAGAACCGCCACCAAGCGATTGCGTTTGATGCGATCGAGAAGATCACGGCGCTAGTGCCGACCACGCTCGAGCTCCGCTTGGTTTCGGATGCGATCCACGATGCACTGGCGGCGCGGTTCTCGGTTGTGATGTTTGGAAAAACCACGTGTCCGTACTGCAAGAAGGCCAAGGCGATTCTCAAAGAGCTCAAGGCCGAAGTCCTCGTGGTCGAGATCGACCTTCTCCCGCCCGCCGTCATGTCGCAGTACCAGGACATGCTGGAAGCGCTCACCGGTCGTCGCACGGTACCCAACATCTTGCTCAACGGGCAGTCGATTGGCGGCGGCGACGACGTGGAGGCGCTGCACCAAAGCAAGAAGCTGGCGCCGATGCTGCAGAAGGTCGGCGCGCTCGCCAAGGCGGTCGTGCTCGACGTACGCTACAGGATACATGGACTCGACAAAACGGAATGCCTTTGTGTAGAGCATCACGACGAACCCGCTCGTGATCTTCACCAAGTCGTTTGACCCGTACTCCAAGGACGTCAAGAAGCTCTTCAAGTCGCTCGGCGCCAAGGCGGTTGTCATTGAAATCGACACGCGCGACGACGGCAACGCGATTCTATACAACCTCCAGAAGCTCACGGGCCGCAAGACGACACCCAATGTGTTTGTGGCTGGGAAAACCATCGGCGGCTGCGACGATACAAAGGCGCTCCACGAGACGGGCGAGCTCACGCTGCTACTGCAGCAAGCTGGCGCGCTCTAAGCTCGGCAGTGGCTCGTCGAAAAGGGCTAAGTGCGGTTGATGGGAAGCACCGCCCAAGACACGTCTTGTGCCGACAGATATAGTAGCAGTGCACGGTTGGCTATGGAACAATGTCTTCTTCTGCTTTTGCTCTAGTTTCAAGCTCAACCCGCCCCGAGTTGGCTCGAATGATCGCGTCCTCGGTGGTTTGCGGCCCTTCCACCCGATTAGCGGTTGCTTCCGTGCGCGAGCACTGCCACCATGGGCACGAAAAGCACGTCGATGATCGACGTCGAAATAAGACGTCTGAGGGCGCTGGTTGAAACTAGAAATGCTCATACTTATCCGCAGCGACCTTGCATGCGATGACACCCACACCCTTGTGCTCGATTGCACTTCTTGCAATGATCGCGTCGGTTGCGCGTGCCCTTTGCAGCGTGCGTCGCCAGTGCGACTCACAGCGCGCGCCACGTATGTATGTACGTGTCCGTACGTTAATGTACGGAAGGAACACATTCACGGGGTACCAGGTACTTGGATGCGAACCCCAAGCACCACAAGAGCACACGCAGTCGGCGATAACGAGCAGTGGAGCCAGAGAAGTGGGCTTGTTAAGGCTCGACGGTGGCATCCAAACTGCGCTTCAACGTACGACGTTCGTGCGAATGGACGTCCATGGGCCCGGATGGCGCTGGCGCTATTTCCGGCGCGCGTTGGGGCCAGTTGCGATTGGCTCGTCGTCGCCAGCGGAAGATACAACGATGGCGGCAATTGGCATCTGTCCATGGTTGACGCATCCACGCCCGTGTACAAGCTCGCGATTCTCGGCGGCGGCCCCGCGGGCATCGGCATCTTTGTCCGCGCCGCGCGCCTCGGGTACCTCGACAAGCTGCTCAATATGGGTGTCGTCCTCGTGCACGGCGGGCCCGTCGCGAGCCTTGGTCGCGGCAACCTCGGCGACTACATCATCAACTCCAACACGTTTGCCAAGAGCTTGCTCGGCAGCGTCCTCGACGAGAAGCCCGAGCTAGACCCGCCCGAGTCCATCCGGGGCACCTTCTTAGAGGGCCTCGAGGTGCACCCGGCGGCCCAGCGGTTGTCGGCGGTCGGGAATGCGTCCATCAACCTCGTCGAGCTCGGGAATTTCCTCGAAGCCATTGGATACCTCGCGCGCCTCGAGATGCTCAAGTACCCGGGCACGAGCGCGTGTCTCCACGAGACAATGGCGACGCATGTCGAGCGCTTGGCCTCGGACGTGTGCAAGATCACGATCACGCACCACGGCGTCGAAGAAACCATTTTCGCCGACCACGTTGTCCTCGCCATGGGCGGCACGCAGGAGCTTCCACCCGACCTGGACCCGGCGTATGTAGCCAAGGCGTGGACGTCGGACGCCGTGCTGCGCGAACCGGGGCGCCGTGCCCTCGCCAACGCGCTCAGCACGGCCAAGGACAAGAAGGTGTGCATCATCGGCGGCTCGCACAGCGCCTTCTCGGTGGCGTGGGTCCTCCTCAACAAGATGCAGCCAAAGGCCAAGCAAGAACTGAGCATCACATTTGGCCCGAAGGACCTCTCGCTCTTGCACCGCGGCCCGATCCGGTGCTTTTACAATACGAGAAAGGAAGCAGAGGCCGACGGTGTCAGTGTCGAGAAGGCGGACAAGAGCGGGTCTGTCAACACCTTTACGGGGCTCCGCGAAGACGCCAAAGCTCTTTACGTCGCCGCGTCGGCCGGCCATGAACCGCGGCTCAAGCTCTACATGGTCAAGAAAAGCGCGAGTGGCGCGGCGCTGCAAAAGCAAGCCTGCGACGCCGCCGCCGCGATCGTATGGTGCTGCGGGTACGCGACCAAGATGCTCCCTGTCACGATCGACGGGGCGCCGCACTTGGCAGTCTCAGGCGGGGCGCCATCAAGGTCGACCTCGCGGGACGGGTGGTGCCAGCGCACAAGTCGGACGGCCTCGGCTGGCTCTACGGCGTTGGCGTCGGGTTTGCGCTCCGGGCCGCCGTCGATGAAATGAAGACCGAGACGCGCGCCGACGGCGTGACCGTGTACCACCGACGGGGCGCGACGCTCGTACTGGCCGGCGTCTTTGGCGCGGAAGTTTACGGGAAAAACTGCGCAACGTTCGAGGAAATGGTCGACAAGTTTGAGAAGCGGCGCAAGGAAGAGCGCGTAAGCGCCGAGTCCAAGATTCCCGTGAGCCCCAGCATGCTCCTCAAGCGGTGTGCATCGTCATAATGATACAGATGGGAGATGTCATCGTGACGCGTAGGGCGCCCCAAGCACCCGTGGCCGATGACGAGACAGGACATCAAAGCCTTGTACGGAGAGGCCGATGAAGATGATGATGATGTGACGCGGGTCTTTGCATAGAAGCTCGCGATTGTGCCGCGCAAGAACAGCCGTGTCCAAGCTGAGAGCCCGAGCAAGCCACGGGCGCGCAACCAAGGCATCGAAATTGAAGCCAAGGCGCTTCGGCGTAGCAGCTTTGAGGCTGGGAAACTCACGACCGCTGCGCGTCCCGACGTGCAACCTAAAAGCTGCGGCAAGCCCGTGCTAGCAGGTGCTGCCAAGCACGCCATCAATGGCATTCGCACGCGAGTTCTCTAAGTCCGAAACAAGAATATATAATTATTTACTCGGCCTGCCTCCCGGGGTAGGGTCCGTCACCTCAGAAAAACTGGATACGATGAGCGCTTGGGTGGCGACGACTGGACAGATCAAGGCTTCTTGGTCCACACTTGGTACATATCCCAGCGCGCAAGGGCGACATGGTCGGTGATCAACTCCTCGCACGTGCCCCACGCCTTGACCGCGTCGGCGGTGGCGGTCTCGGCGAGCGGGTCTTCGTTCTTGGGGCCGATCAGAATCACTTTGGTCACCTTTGGAAACCATCTCAAGTACGTTGCTAAGAGCGACGGCCGCCGAAGGTACACGGCGAGGAGCGCGACCGTGTTGTCGACCGTCGACGGCCGCTCGCCTGCCTTGACGACGTCGAAGAAGGGCAGGAAGACGTTTACGGGCGCGATATCGAGGCCATGGACGTCAAGGCCATTCTCGCCCAGATGCAGCTCCAATAAGAACTCTAGCAGGCCAGAGCCACTGCCAATGCTGAGGACGACGCCCGGTCTCGGTACGTTGGCCAATGTGTCCCGCAGCAGTGTGAGCAGCGGCGACGTCGGGTTCACGCAGCACAGCGTCGTCGTCTCGGTCAGCGCGTCCAGCATCTCGCGCATGCCATCGACGTCGTTGTCGAGGAAGCGCTGGCGCAAGCAGTCGGCGACTGACAGCGCGCCGCCCGCGTGGTTCCGGTACAGCTGCGCCGGGTGGAGCTCCAGGCCTCGAGCAAGTATTATTACTATGACGTGATTGGTGCAGCAGTCGACCAATCCAGATGTCCCATTTCAGAAACTCAAACTCAAAACTCAAAAGTTGGCATTCGTATTGCAGTTACGACGACGCCGTGTGGATGGCCTTGTGCTGGAGCGCAAGGATCGTGTCGACCTGCTTCGCTTCGGCCTCGTACCCGAGCGCAAGGAGCGACCGCTTGGCGCTGACGTACGGCCACGGGCTCGTGACGATCTGGTCGCCCTGCACACACTTGCGGTGAAACTCGCGGAAGGTCTCGATCGCCTTGGCGTGCTGGTTCGTCTCGGCGTATGCGGTCACGAGGTGCTGCAATACAAACGTCTTCTTCGAGCCAAGGCGCTCGCCGAGGTAGACGACAAAGGCCCACGCGTCGACTGCGTCCTCGTCTTCTTCGTCGGCGGCGGACTCGGGGACCTTGTTCTTCAACGCCCGGCGCACGCAGCCCTTGAGGATGTTCTCGAGCTTGGCCGGCGACGTGACAGCCGTCGGCGCCTCCAGCATGAGCTGCAAGAGGCGCCACCGACGCGCGTTGTCCACAAAGTTTACGAGCTGCCACCACCAGAACGGCGTCGTGAGGTTGAGCAGCGGCAAGCGGGGCTCAAGGAGCGACCAGAGCTCGACTTGGCTCACGTGCGTCGAGCGCGCGAGCGTGTGCAGCACGCGCTTGGCGTCCTCGTCGCTGTAAAAGGTCACGGGAAAGACAGGGCAGGCTTCGAGAAACTCGAGGAGCGCGGGCACCTGGTCCTGCTTGGCCATCTCGACCATGAGCTTGGCGGCCATCGCGCTGGCGTTCGCCACCTTCTTCTCCGCAAGCGACGACACGATGAGCGGCAAAATGCGATCCGATTGGTGCAGACCAATGTACGTTTGCACCAAGGGCCGCGAAAGGGCGCTGCTTCCGTCCCTAGACACACAGAGATCGGACGACTGCTTCTCGCATAATGACGCATCGTACGTGGCAAGGGCTTGGCACTGCGCGTGGACGGCGAGCGCTTCGTCAAACTCGCCGAGGTAGTTGCGGGCGTCCATCGCGACCGCGTAGATGGGCACGAGCGACGGCGAAATGCCGTCAAAGCGCTGCATGTTGTCAAAGAGGGTCAAGACGGTCTCGGCGTACTCGACGCCGTCGGCGCTGTCTTCCTGGTCGTTCTGGAAGCCCGCGGCGAGGCCCAGCATGAGGTTCTGGTAGTCGAGTTCGCGGAGCTTGATACCGTGGAGTTCAATGTCGTCTGCGATTCGCTTCATGTCCTTGAAGCTCTTGAGCGTCTGAAAAAGGTAGAGGGCTTGGCGGTACCCACTCGTGTTGCGCGGACCGTTGGCGTCGCTGAGCTGCCGCCAGAACGCCGCCGCTTTCTCGAGCTGCTTGGTCGAGATCAGCGCCTTCAAGTACGACGCGTTCATGGACTCGGTCGGGTACACACCGTGGCCGAGCGCAAAGTCCATGGCCGCCTCGACGTCCGCGTGCGCGTGCTGGAAGCTAAGCATGCCCAGAAGAAAGGACATGGTGCGCCGCGTCGGCTTGACGAGCGGTGACGCCGCCGTCATGTCTTGGAGGTTTTCGTACAGCAGCGTCGCCGCTTCGTGCTGCCGGTACTTGACGAGCAGCGTCATGGCTTCCTGCTCGACGCGCGCCGTCATGACCGGGGTCGAACGGCGCCGGCGCGGCGTGGCCCTCGAGTGATTGCACGAGCGGGCGGTAGTACGAGGCCACTTCCTTGACAACGCCTGCAAAGTCGTTGTCGTCACAGAGCTTCTGTAGCTTGGCGTACGCAGCGTGCATGTGGTCGACATCGATCGACGGGCCGGTGGCATTCTTGGCCTTGGGCGGAGGCTGCTCAAGGAGAAGTCGCGCACCGCCGATGCACGTAATGGAAGAGGCCGCGCGATGAGGTGCATGGGTCGCAGCATGGCGGGCGACCGGGCCGAGCGCTTCAGGGTCGCGCGGAGGGCCGCGCCAAGGGTGCGTGCTGCCATCGCCGACGAAGTTTCTGGTTGTTCATTGGCTCGCGAGTGCAATTTAATATCCAGCATAAAGACACATACAAACGCCAAGTACAAACGCCTGGTAAAAAAAAGAGCAGAGGGAACAACCTCTCATATTACATACAACCTGTGGCATTTTATGCTGTCGAGCCATCCTCGCCGAGAGCTACCGCCAGCGCCCGACTTGCTGCTGCTGCTCATTCCCCCATGTACCGTGGTAGTAGGACGTACCAAGTATGCTGTGGTACCGTAGCTACCGGTAGAACTGCTAGCTACGGGGTTCTAGCCTAGTCGGCCGTTCAGGCTCTCGTATCCGGAAACCCTAGGCCAGGCCAGGATTTACGGATACGGCGATGGACCGGATGCCAAACGACTCGACAGTCGGCCGGCGGATGATGACCGACAAGGCCGACAAGCCCAAGACGACGCGCAATGCGTTCATTGGGTTCGACCAAGAAGTCAAGTACGGCCTCAAGGTGACGGTACGCGAAGCAAACGACGCTCAGCAGGCCATGTGTCTCTTCTGCCTGCACTTTGGCCGCCAGCAGGCCGAGGGCCGGACGCGCAAGCCCTTGTCGACGGTCAAGATGTACCAGCCGCCGTTTCGCCTCGACAACCTGGCGCAGCACAACCTCGCCCACCACCGCGACCGCTGGGCCGAGTACTGCGCGTTGTCATACGAGCAAAAACGCAGCTACTTTCCAGCAACGGCACCGTCGATGGTGGTCCCGCCGCCGAAGCGCAAGCCCGCAGCATCGCCCACGCTCTGCGAACCACTGCGAGCAGACCAGCCAGTCGCTGAGTCGTTGACCCCGCCTCCACCAACCAGCGACGATGTGCACGTTGCGATGGCCGACGAGCGTCTCGCGATGGAGCGATCCAAGCACGTCATGGAGGTCGAGATGCTGCGAAAGACCGTCGAGCTCAAGAAGATCGAGGTCATTAGCGCAACGATGCTAGCGCGGCAAACTCTAGCCGATGCTGGCGTAGCACGCGTCGAGATCGACCTTGTGTTGCCACTGCCGCAGTTCGATGCCGGTACGTAGTCCGTAGGTTACCATCAATCAAGGCTATATGTACAACGCCTCTTCTATGCTTGCATCTCGTCCTTGTCCGGCACCCACGACAGACAGGTGTGTGGCCTGTCAATGGCGAAAAGCGTGGTGATTCCGATGCCGACGCGGCGGATCGAAGGAAGACAAGAGGGGCAACACCTATGGGGCTTGAGCCCCGTACCTCCTGTACACGAAGCTATATCGTCCAAGCCCACGACGCATCCTGACGCAAGGTATCCATTGCTCGACGGATTTGGCGCGGACGTGCCTAGCGTTCGGCGGCGCGGTGTTTGATTGGCCCGTGACTAGCCTAGTTCTTAGCGGCATGTGATTGGCAGCTCAAAATATAATTGCTCACGCCGTAGGCATACCAATGTCAAATGCTTTAATACAATGGGTGCCACGGAGACCGACGTTAGGTTCGGATGCAGCAGGCGATGGAAAGCGGCGAGCCCAGGCCACAGCAGCACCGCGGAGCGCTCCGGCCGGAGCACGAGGTCAAGTACGGCGTGTCCGTGACGAGCCGCAGCGCAGCGACCGGCGACGCGCTCCAGGCCACCTGCCTCTTTTGCGTGCACTTTGGCCGGCAAATTCGGTCCGAGCGCGCGCGCAGCATCGCGACGCAGGTCAAGGTCTACGAGCCGCCGTTCCGCACCGACAACTTTGTGCAGCACAATAGACTGCACCACTGGGACCACTGGATCGCGTACAGTGCGCGGGACCCGGACGCGAAGCTCGTCTACTTCCCGGCGGCGCCGATCCCGTCAACGATGCAGATCGCCGTGGCGCCCAAACGCCGGTCGACCGCCAAGCGCCCGGCGTCGCCCGAGCCCGAGCCCGTGCTGCCAAAGAAGGCAAAACCCGACGCTATCTCGTTCGGTGATCTGTTGGAGCTCGAGCGCACCAAGTATGCGCTCGAGACGGACATGATGAAGATGGACTTGGAGCTCAAGAACGTCCAGGTCGTGCTCTCGACGATGCTCGCGCGGCAAAAGCTTGTGAACGCTGGTGTGCCCCAAAGCGAGATTGACGCGATGCTACCGCTACCATCTCAGCGGCAGCCGACAATCACGCGCATCTGAGTAAGTGGCATTCACAAATGATTATTCATCCATCGAGATCGCTCCACCGTGCATCCGCTGCCGACGTAGCATACGCATGGGAGATTGATTACATGCGTCTTCTGTGGAGAAGTTCTACGGACAAGTGCCAGTGAGCAGGATACCTGACAAGATCGTTCGTGGTAGCTGGGATGAATGCGATCCCATGCGGCCACGGCGGTCCTCGTGTCGGCGTACACAGTGTACCCATGGAGAGGCAACGTACAGGCACGCGACGTTATATTACTGGAGATATTGTAGTTATTGCATGAGCGGCATGCCTTCTTCCGGCGGCGGCAATGGCAGCATCTTGTCAATGTCGTCTTGAGGAACGCCGGCCTCGACGAGCTTTTGCCGCGCCAGAAGCGTCGAGCTAATGACTTCGATGCTCTTGATGCGAAGCGTCTTCTTCAGGATCTCCATTTCCATCTCTTGCTTCTTCTCGGCGTGCTTTTCGTCCATCGCATCTTCGAGCGGCGGCGTCGCCGCGCGCGCAGCACTCGTCGCGGGTCGCTTGACCGGCGGCGCCTCCAGTGGCAACTGTAGCTTGGGCGCCTCGGGTACGCGGACGCGTTTGCTGCCTTTGGCGTCGCGCAGCGTGAGCTCGGGATGGCGCTCCATGAAGCGCTTGAGCCAGCCGTCGCCAAGGTACCCGGACGGCGGCGCGGCGCGGTTGGACGTATGGTAGATCTCGTTGGCCTTGCTGAGCACCATTTGCCGGGAGACGTGGAAGCCATTCGTCTGCATCTCGACGATCCACGCAGCAATGTTTGTCTCAATCGGCACGCTCAGCACGGGCGCGGGGCCCGGCTTCTGCAGCTTGACGTCGTTGACAAACTTGTTGGCGCGGTTCGTGATCGTGCGCTCGGGGATGTGCGGGAACTTCTGGTGCACTTCGCGCAGCTTGGTGCCACCGACGTACGCCTGGACCGCGGCCTCGAGCTCGTCGGCGCTATATCGCTTCTTCTTGCCGGTCATGCTGGGAATGGCAAAGTCAGTACAAATCCGCTCCTTTCGATTTTCCACCAATAAAACACGATCGAAAGTGCTACACGCGCTCGTATTGGCTAAAATCCAAGCCAAGATCTGGTTCGGCCCCAGAAAAGTGCTCGGTACGAAACGATCGTGGCAGCTGCCACGACCACTGTACGAGCGCGTCGAGGATGGACGACTAGAGCTTGGCCTCGGGCAACAAAGGGTAGTGGTGCTCGTAGCAGTACAAGACGAACTGCCCGGCCTTGGAGCGGCGAAGGTACTCGTAGCGCTCTTGGAACTTGGGGGCATGTTGGCCGGGTTCAAGTACGGCGCAATGTACCGGCTTTGCTTGGGCCCGAGCAGCAGCGAGACGTGCGAGCAGAACGAGATGTCGGCGGCTGAGAACGTTGGGCCGGCCAAGTATGTCGAGCCCAGCGGCGCTGCGCCCAGGATGTCGTCAACGCGAGCAAACTCGGCCTCGATCTTAGCCCACGAGCGCTCTGCGCCGTCGGGCGTGACGTTCAGCGACCGAATGAGCAGCGACTTGAGAACGGGATACACCGCGCTGACGGTGGCCGAGAGCGCTGCACTCTCGAGCGGGTCCGTGAGGACGGCGCGGCCCACCGGGCCCATCGAAAAGAGCGTGTGGTAGGCGTACCGGCGGGCGTGCGGGCCAAACTTGTTGTCGTAGTAGAGCTCCTTGGCCTTGACCGCATCGTTCGGGTACAGCGCCGGTAGCGACTTGCCGCAGAAGGTCATGATCTCATCGCTCGACTTCAAGATGTTCTTGGTGCCACCGACGAGGAGAAGGGGCACGCTGCGCCCGCCCTTGGAGACGGTCCCGGCGTAGTGGAAGAGAGGCGCATGCTTCTCTTCGACAAAGTCTACCTTGGCCGCGCGCAGACCCCAGCGCGCCTTCTCGCAGAAGTTGGACGCAGGGATCGTCACGAGCACGTGCTTGGCTCGCGTTGCTGCTGCCATGGCGCTGATATCCAAACTGCTGCATGCGTCAACCGATGGGGATGGGTGCAAAGTGCTTTCTTATAACCGACTATGTAGGAAACAAGGGCAGATTCCGATTGTCGTGTAGGTAAACGAGCCTTTGGATATGTTCCGCAGGACGGCTTTCAAGAATGACAAGCAAGATTTGGATTTGGATCGGCTGCCCAATATTATTACCGGTATTGTGTGGTCGATCTGCACCTTTTAGCGGCCTGGAGATCTGTGAAGCTAGCTAGTTAGGTATACATGGGTCCCGCGAGCGTCGGGCGGGTGTTGGTAGGCGCATGCGAGGGTGAGCTCATACCGGTACTGTAGCCTTCTCCAGACTGAGAAGCACCAATCGAAGCTCGCCGGGAGGAGGCCATTCGGTATTTAACAGCGCACGCAAATGCACTGGACGCCCCCATCAACTGGGAGAAAGAATGCGCGTTCTTCAAGGTCGCACCAGTCGCTTGCTTTCCACAGAGAACGATAGATTCCCTCACGACCGTAAGAAGGGCTTCATACGCGACTATATTTTAGCACCAAACAATTGCTTTGTATGTCGTCAAGGAAAACCGATATGTCTCCGGATACGGCCCCGCGAAACGCTCAGTCCCAGAAGCAGCAGCCAGGCGCAGGAGCATGCTCGTGGGGCAGTTCCTCTCGCGGAGCATCTGCAATGCAGTCGGCTATGCGTACCCGATCTACATGTCGGTCAAGGTCGCGGCCAAGGACGACGCGGTCGACGAGCAGATCCAGTGGGTCGTCTTCTGGACGGTCAACGCCTGCTTCTCCGTCTTCGAGATCATTGCCGACCGGCTCGGCAGCTTCATTCCGCTCTACTACGAGGCCAAGGTGTGCATGATGGCGTGGCTCGCGCTGCCTTACTTTCGTGGCGCGACGCAGATCTACGAGAAGCTCCTCGCGCCCTACTTTGTCAAGTACGCACCGCCTCCTCGTCATCCTTGCAGCATGCCATCGTAGGTACGAGCAGTCGCTCGACGCCTCGATCGACCTGGCCAGCGACAAGTTGTCGCAGCTCTGCCGCGAGGCCGCGTCCTTAGCGATCCAGAAAGGCTCGGGGGCCATCGTCCAGGTACGTCGCACGTGGCGACAAAGAACCCATGGGATTGTAGGGCCAGCAATACATTGTCATGCAAGCGATGCAGCAAGCGTGGAACCGACCCACGAGTCCGACGAGCGCGCCTATTGCAGCCGTCGCCAAGCCGGTCGAGCCTGAGCCCATCGTATCACCATCACCACTCAAGCAACCACCGACACCACCAAGCGAGCCGCCATCCCGCCAAGAGAAGGAGGCGGAGCTCCTTGTGCACTTTCGCATTCTCTTATCGCGCGGTCTCAAAGTCCGCCACGGCGCCAAGTCGCGCTTGCTGCGGCTGAGTCCGTCGGGCACGCACTTGTATCTCGAGTCCAAGGCGCACCGCGGCGCCGCGGCCCCTGTCGTCCTCAGTCTTCTCGCCGTCGCCGCGGTCGATGCCAAGGACGAGGCGTGGTTCAAGATCGACACGACGACGATCCACCATACACTGGCCTTGGACGCCGAAGTCAAGAAGACGCGCGACTTGCTCGTGGCGGGACTCCGCCTGCTCGTGCTCGCCTTCCAGAAGGATGCCAAGCGCCCGCTCCAGCGACTTGCCCAGCTCCGTGCCCGCCACGCCAAGCAGTTGGCATTTGATATGCTTCTCGACCACGTCAACCGCGCCAACCTTCAGCGTTCGTTTTAACGCAGCCGTTGCCTTTTCTTCTATTAAAACGCAACTCCAATCGATCACTCCGCGCTGGCCAGAGGTCGGGTGTCGTCCGCCTTGAGCGGCCCCGACATGATGGACGCCAGCTGTTCTGCGGCCGAGTCCAATAGCTTGTCCATGTCTTCTTCGTCGTCTACAGACTTGGCCGCGTCGAGTGAAGTGGCCTCGTCGCCACGCACATCGACCTTGGAGAGAGAGCAACGCTTGGGGGATTTCTTGGCTTCCATGTAATAGCCTTCCGGCTTGAGCGGCAGCGTCTTGACCGTGTCCTGGGCCACGAGGAGCGCGACGAGCTCCTTCAAGACTTCCTCAAGCACGACAAACGCGACAAGCACGCTGTTGGCTTCGTCGACGTTGGCGTTGGCCAAGAGCTGTGCTTGCACGTCCGTGACCATCTGCCAGCCTTGCGGTATCCTCTGGATGCGCGCGCATGCGTCGAGGTGGACGTCCTCGAGAATGCTCCGCACCGACTTGCCCTTCTCGAGGTCTTGGTCCCAGTCAAAGACGAGGTGCGGTCGGAGGGACGCGAGCAACGTGATCAAGCCCGAGAGCGCAATGTTCTCGGTCAAACTATTGTCGAGCCAGCGCTCGAGGCGCCCAAAGAGCACCGACTCGAAGAGCGTCGCGAGCGATGGCGATGACGGCACACGCGTCGGCACCTGCGACACGGACGGCACACAGAGCGCCCAGGACCCACGGCGCGTCACGCGGTCGGCGATCTCGTTATCGTCGTCGTCGAAATCCTCGTCCTCGTCTTCCGTGTCACTCGTATCGGTCTTGGACTTTTCCGAGCACGCCGACTGCTCGGCGACGGCAATGTACGAGAGGAGCGAGAGGAGCTCGCCGTCCGCCAACGTCGGGACGTCGGTAACAAAGCTCTGAAGGGCGGCAAAGTCGTGCTGCTTGACAGCCGCCCAGAGCGCGGCGTTGGCCGTGATGGCGGCCACCGACGCGTGCGGAAAGCGGGATGCAAACCATACGATGTGCACCGGTGTCGTGTGCGCACGCGGCGGCGGCAAGAGCGCGTCCTCCACGACCGTCGTGCGCAGCGAGAGAAGCGTGGCAAAGAGATCCATGGTCGCCACGCTCAACGGCACCGAGAGCGAGTTGAGCCGGTAGACAAGCTCTTGTAGCAGCCGTTGCGGCTTGGCGGATGGCGCGACCGTGAGTATCGGTGGCGGCGGCACTAGCTCGTGCGACGCAGAGACGACCGGCATTGGCGTCGGCGCCGCCTTGGCGTGCATGTGGCTCAGCAGAAAGGAAATGTAGACTTGGAGGAGCGGGTTCGAGGCGGGCGACCCGCCCAGCATGTCCAAGATCGACCGGGCGTACACGAGCGCCGTGCGCGACGCTGCTTCGGACGGTTCGAGGAGTGCATCGAGAAACGGCCCGGCCAAGAACCGATCGTGGAACTGCACAAGGATCTCACTCGTGATGGACCGGACGCGCGTGATAGGGACCGAGGCCGGGAGCCCCTTGGGCGGCGTCGCGGGCCGCTCTTCGTCGAGGATCTCGAACGTTCCGACCATGGCCAAGGTCGAGCAGAAGCGGAGGCGGCCCGCGAGGACATCGAGCTCCTGCTGGATCATGTCGAGGTCCATGGACCGGAAAGTCTTTTCGTGCTTGACGCCGAGCGTCTTGGGCAGCGCGTCAAAGGCGCCGATGATCCCCGTGACCGCGTAGTTGCAGAACGGCGTCATCTTGAGAATGAAGCGCGCGAGGCCTGGCTCCTGGAGGCCCGCCGCGATCGCGAGGCCTTCGCGGCACTTGAGCCCGAGCTTGCCGGCGCGGTACATGTGCGGGAGGAGACCGGTGAAGAGCACGAGCTCCGAGATGCGCGTCGGCGAGAGCGCGAGCTCGGCGTTGGGTGTCGTCGTCTTGTAGATGCGCATAAAGAAGAACTCGGTCTGGACCGGGTCGCCCTTGAGCTTGACCCAGAGCGCGTGGAGGCAGTGGAGCAAGCACTTCTCGACCATCTCGTCTTCGACTTCGCGGACCATCGCGCCTTGGATGAGCTCGCACACGGAGCGATAGACACCACGCGTTGGCAAGATCGGGTAGTTGATCTTGGACTCGCGGAGGAGGTCGGTGAGGAAGATAATGACGAGCACCATGAGGCCGCTTGGCGAATCGTCGGCTGCCTTGGCGCAGAGCTGCTGAATCACATTGTGCTCGAGGAGGTACTCCATGCACGGGCGCTGGTCAATGGGCGTATCGCGGTCGTGCACCTGGCGATCGAGCGCATCTTCCTCGGCGTACAGCAGTTTGACCAGCTTGGCAAGGTTTTCGCGCGTGTTTGAGTCAGTGAGCTGCTTCTTCTGCTGCGCTTCCGGCAGGTCTTCCGCTATGACCGCCTCGAGGAAGAGCGAAATGATCTGCCACCGATGGTGAAACTCCTCGACCGGCGTCTTGTAGAGCGCCATGGTGAGATTTAACGATGGCGCGACGGCCTCCGCGGCCTGCGCGACCTACGCAGAAGCATTAGCATGGCCGGCGCCGAGGGCGGGTACCATGGAGGCGGCGGCCCTCATCTTGTTCTTGAACCAGCTCATGCTGCTTGCGTCTCGACGCCCGATGGCAGTTCCCAAGGACGAAAGCTGCTCCGTTCTGTTGTTCGATCTATTTTCATGGGGCCCATAGTATCCACCGACCGGGTCCGACGACGCCATTGAATCGTTTAATTGTATTACATAATAACCGCAAGTAATATTGTAAATTTTAATGTTTGGATGCCGATCCCAAACGCTGCAAACGTGTCAATAGCTAGCATAGTTAAAACAAGCTTAAAATCCAGAAATTCGTTGAAGTGGGTGGTGTCCCCGTATATTTGATGCAATAGGGACCCCTACACAAAAGCGAAGATTTGCGTCACCGTGGTCCAATCTCACACACCACATGCTTCAATCCTCACATTTGAGTTTGAGTTTCATCAAGCCCAGAGAATGTGAAGTCGCTGCCATACAGAAATTGCACAAAACACTTGCAAATCGTAAACTCCTGGCTCGCGCTAGCTGCTCGCGTTAGCTGCTCGCGTTGCATTAGTACAAGCCGATCTCTCCATGCCGAGGTTGCAATCGTTCACTATGATTGGTCAAAATGCAAGGATACCGATGGTTGATTGGGTAGCCATCTGGCCATTTTAATTACTGGCCAATCAAATGCGTGATAACCTGAAAACTCCACGCGAGAGGCTGCATACAATTGCCGAGATGTTTGCCATTTGAATATTTGAATTGCGAGGTATGCGACGAACGACGCTCGGCCCGATATCGTCCTCGCAGCTCAACTCGATGAGCTCGTCGCAGCCATCGCGGATCCCCGTGGCCAAGCCGGCCGCGGGGCCGTCGGCCGGCCGCCAGTCCATGAGCTCCTTGGCCCAGCGGCGCGAGAGCATGAAGAACCGCCTGCCGCTGGGCCGCAGCAGCATGGCGGCGAGCGCCGGCCACCGGACGCACTCGATCGGAAAGAACGGGTCCATGGGGTCGGGCCGGCGAAGCAGTACGTTCGGAGCGCGAGGCAACCGCGTCATGGACCCTCGCCCGGTGGCTGATCGCAGCTTCATGAACAACGCGATTCGGCTGCTGGTCGAGTACCTCTCGGAGCACAACTACGAGCACCAGATCAACTCGCACTTGCTCTTCAAGCCGATGAAGAAGGACTTCGTCTACATCATGCAATTTCTCTTCCGCCAGCTCGATCGCAACTTTGAGTACTCGCCCAAGATCGAAGACGACGTCGCGACGTGCTTTCGCCAGCTCAAGTACCCTTTCCCGATCAGCAAAGCAGCGCTCGCGGCCGTCGGGAGTCCTCACTCGTGGCCATCCCTTCTTGCCGCTATCTCGTGGATGATTGAGCTTCTCAAGGTACAGAATGATGTCACCGATCGCGATCGCCTCATGCTGTCGACAGTACGACGAAATCGTGCAGCACGACTACGAACAAGGCGACGAGTACGACGGCGACAACTTCTTCGAGTATCTCGCCAACTCATACGAAGCCTTCTTGAACGCCAAGGACGACGAGTACAACATGCTCGAAGCCCAGCTCATCCAGAAGATTGGTACTCCATCTGACCTGTCACTCGACCCATATTGGACGCTAACAGGATGACGACCATGTAGACGCAAAACACGATGTCATCGCCAACGAGACACAAGCGATCTTGGAAGAGAACGACGAGCTGCGTCGGCAAATTGAGCAAGCCAAGAAGGCGCCGGTACGCCGTTCGCTGGTCGTAGCCACCGTACCAAAGGCACTTGGAGTAGACACTTGCCCACTACAACGCCAAGAAGCGCGACCTCCAGCACGATCGCGAGAAGCTGCAAGATCTCGTGCAGAAGCTCGAGGCCAACAAGGAGCACGCCGGTGTTGTCATTCACTCGACCGAGCAAAAAATCGCCAAAAAACGTACTCTGCCGTGCCAGCAGTACTTGGATGGCTCATGACCCCTTTGTATGTAGAGGAGGAGTTCCAAGCGATCCAAGTCAAGATCGCACAGCTGCAGCGTCGCATCGACACGCAGGAGCTGACGGCGGAGGACCTCGACCGCATGGTGAAGGAGCGCCAGCGCCTTCAGGAGCAACTGCAGCAGGCCGAAGTGCGCTACAAGGAGCTCCAGAGCCAGCACTGGCAAAAGGAGACTGCGATTTCCGAAATGAAAGACGCGTTGGAAGAAAGCGTGAAGCGCTATATGGTGACGGCGACGCGTCTCAAGCTCTTTGGCAAGTACGGCGGCGGCTTCGACTATGGCATTGCGATTGATGCGCACTCGGGCGGCGTCTCGGCCGCGACCGCGCTCATCAACCACCTCAAGAAGAACGTTGTGCCTAATATCTACAAGTTCAAGAAGCAGCGCATCGAGCGTCTCGACCGGCTCCTCGATAAGTCGCTCGAGCTCAAGGCCCAAGTTGAGAGCACGGCGCTGCAGCGCGAGAACGCGCTCGAGGCCGTCCGCAACATGGAGAACCAAGAGCGCAAGATGAGCGAGATCATGCGCCGCGAGAAAGACTCGATGGACCTCCTCCTCGAGCAGAAGGCCAAGGCGATCGAGGACGTCGAGCTCGAGCTCCAGCACGTCAAGAGCGAAGAAGAGCTCAGCGCCGAGAACGTGCGCGCCGAGGCCGCGTACAAGGAGACGCGCGACGCATACGAGAGCATGAAGGCGCAGTGCGAGCAAGAGATTGCAACGCGTCTGCACAACATCTCGCTTGCGGTCTCGGCCTGCATCGCCTTCAAGGAGAACGTCGAACATGTGCTCTCGGAAGGCGAGGCCTACGCCCAGCGCTTTGCCGTCTAGTGTGTTGTGGATAGAAGACCCATTACTTTATATTAAAAGAGACTATAATAACCAAGCTGCTATATTGACCAAGTCGATTCCTAAACTTCCCACGTTGCTGCCTGAATATCCATCACTAAGCGGCACATGTACTCGTTCGCATCAGCAACGCTGCTGCAGCCGACCGCAGGTACCGGTAATATGGCGGCCCTTGAGCCTGCTTCATGGGCTTGGTGCCGAGGGATCTGGTTTGAATGCTCGCATCAAGGTCGAGCATTACCCAAAATCAAAGAGATGCATGCCTGTGGACATATCGAAGACTCAGTTTGTTCAGGAAATGACGTGCTTCATATTAAGAGATACAACACGAGTACAGCGCTGCTTAGCAACCGCCACGAAGGCGGAGCACGAGGTGGAGCGTCGACTCCTTCTGGATGTTGTAGTCGCTGAGCGTGCGGCCGTCCTCGAGCTGCTTGCCGGCGAAGATGAGGCGCTGCTGATCCGGCGGGATGCCCTCCTTGTCCTGGATCTTCTGCTTGACGTTGTCGATCGAGTCCGAGGGCTCGACATCGAGCGTGATGGTCTTGCCCGTCAGCGTCTTGACAAAGATCTGCATGCCACCGCGCAGGCGGAGCACGAGGTGGAGCGTCGACTCCTTCTGAATGTTGTAGTCGCTAAGCGTGCGGCCGTCCTCGAGCTGCTTGCCAGCGAAGATGAGGCGCTGCTGATCCGGCGGGATACCTTCCTTGTCCTGGATCTTCTGCTTGACGTTGTCGATCGAGTCCGAGGGCTCGACGTCGAGCGTGATGGTCTTGCCGGTGAGCGTCTTTACGAAGATTTGCATGCTGCTGTGGGTCGCTTGAGCAGGCGAGAGAAAATTGGGAAATGAACGTGTGAGGTGTCCAAGCGGCCGGATTGTTCTATACTCGAAGCAAGTGTTTAATACTAGGCGTGCCGGCTGCCACCTCACTATACAATTACCAAGGTAAAACCTACATTGTGGTCCGCAGATCCGCTTTTTATGAGCCCCAACTGCCGTCGGCTCGTTTCGCACATCGCTTGCAATGACCAATCAGCGGCGTCGAAAAGACGGTTCCAGAAGTTCTCGGTCGTTCGACGCGTTTCATTGGCCAAAATGCCAGCGGTTTCGTTTCTATTTCATCAGTGTTGGTCGTTCGAAAAACGACCCCTTCGTCGCAGACGCATGTGATTGGCCAAAATGCTGCAGTCAGAGAAAGGACGAGCCAACGGGAATCTTTGGGGCCGCGACACGCTCGCTTCTGATCCGGCGGCACGGTGAAGCCGACGGAAGGAGCATGCATATTCGCAGGCGGCGAAGAAGGGTTGGGTGACAGCATGGACATGCAGGCACTTAGACACGTCGGCAGCACGTATATAAGCAGTAGAGCTGACGCGCCATCGTAGGTTCCGCTGCTTGGCGAGCCGCAGCATGGGTGACCAGTAGGTGCTTTCGCATCGCTGCACCACGGGCATGAGCGTTCGCCAACACGGGCGGGTCTGGTCTGCACGCGTTGCACAGAAATGACACACGTCATTGGCTCGGCCAATTGGCGCGCGCTTAGATAACACCATGACGTGGCAAGCGGAGAACGCAAGGTTCAGGCAACGACGACCAGATTGGCAATGCCGAACATGGAGCACGTTGCTTCAAGGCGTGGCGACAGCGATGAATGGCTCCGGGCCGTGGGCGAGGAAACCTCGCTGGTCATCGCACAAACCAACTTGCCTTGCTATGGTGTCGTTGTTCCGCCTCGCGCTCGCGGCTTGCTTGATGCCCGACGTCTTTGCGTCTCTTGGCCTCTGCTCGGCGGTCAAGCCGTACTCGTACTCGCTGGCAAAGGTCCAATTCCCGCACCTCAAGGCCGCGCTTGAGACGGTGGAAACCCAGCCAATCGCAACGTGGTACACGGACCGCGACATCGACTCCAAGCACCAAGCCGCGCTCGCCGTCGGCAACTGCCCCAAGGGTACGTCCCTTCGCCTACGTCGATCTCTTAATCCGCACTCTAGGTAGCCGCCCGACCATTGTCGTCTACGGTCTCCCCAACAAAGATTGCCAGGACCACCACTCGACCGACGGCGCCAACAAGACGCCGGAACAGTACGTTCAGTTCTTGACGGACCTCAGCACGACCGTCGGCGACAACAACGTCGTGTACATCCTCGAGCCAGACGCCGTCGGTCTCCTCGTCGGAGGCTCGGCGTGCGCGACGACGTTCGAGTACGAGCGCAACCTCATCAACGCCGTGTCGCTCCTCGGGCGCAACCCGCAGGCCGACATCTACATTGACATTGGGTTCTGGGTGCTGGGCCCAGCCAACGATGCCAAGATCGCGCGCGTGCTCTCCAAGCTGGACCCGACGGGCACCCGCCTTAAGGGCATCTCGATCAACACGTCCAACTTCCGCACCACGTCCGAGCTCGTGCAAATGTGTGGCAACTTCTCGGCGACGGCGCGGGCGACGGCCAACCGGACCGTCACGTGCGTTCTCGACGTCTCGCGCAACTTTGCAGGGCCCGACCCGACGAGCCAGTGGTGCAACCCGAAGGGCCGCGGCATTGGACGCCCGCCGACCATCCTCTCAGGCGAGCGCCTCATCGACTACATGCTCTGGATCAAACCGCCGGGCGAGAGCGACGGCAACTGCAACGGTGGCCCGACCGCGGGCGCGTTCTTCCTCGACGGCTTTGTCGAGCTCTGGAACAACGGCTACTTTGTGCAAGCCAAGGGTATGAACAAGGTGTCGGCCATCGCGCCGTAGGCAGCGTTAGATGACCGTTAAGATCCTTTTGGTATGCCGATAACCATGACCTTGACCTTTGTATGGTATACTGGACCGCTTCGGTTCGAATCTTCTTCGAAAAGGTATTTTTTGAGTTGTTCGAAGCCAATTCGATGGAGTCCGAGACGCCGCCGCCGATCCGCCTCCATGAAGCCGACGAGGTGACGGAGGGCACGAAGCTGCCCAACACCCTCCGCATCACGGTGCTCCGCGCGCGCAACATGGCCAAGGCGACGCTCCGCGCCACGACGAGTCTCTACTGCAAGCTCACGTCCGCGGGCATGACGTACAAGACCGCCATCAAGGCGCGGACCATCGACCCTGTCTGGAACGAAGTACGTACTCTTCGCCCATGTAGCATCGCACGCAATATATGGAGCAGACGTTCTCGTTTCGCGCCAGCGACTACATGACGACCGTGACGATCGTCGTCGCCGACAAGATCAATGTCAAGAAGCGCGTCGTTGGTCAGATTCGCATCGTCGCCTCCGATATCATGGCCGAGCCCACGATGCGCTGCACGCGCTGGTATGCGCTCGTCGACAAGGCGTGGGCGCCCAACGAGAAGCTCGGCGAGCTCGAGATCAAGGCCTCGTTGGTCTACGAGCGTGAGCACGACGGCGTGCTCCAGCGCCGCGTCGACATCCAGCGCGCAGTACCCGCCGTGGCAATCGCTGTGGGCGAGACGTGGGACACGTCCGACGCCGACGGGTTTGCCGTCCAGCAAGACGAGACCGAAGACGACGCGCTCCTCCGCAAGCAAGAACTCGACCTCCAAGAAAAGCAGCGGCTCGAAGCGCTGCTTGTCAACATTCCGCGAGGCGATTTCCAGATCCAAGCCCACATCATTGAAGCACGGGACCTCAAGGGCGAGAATGTACCCCATTTCCACCGTCTCTGCATCGACTTGATGGATGGTTGATAGTTTGATGGCACGTCCGACCCCGTGTGCTATGTCGACGTCATGGGGAAGAAGCAAAAGACGTCGGTCAAAAGCCAGACGTTCTCGTGTGTCTTTGACGAGCTCCTCTTCTTCCGCTTCCGCAACATTGGCCGGAAGGAGCTCGAGCAAGCCACGATCACGGTCTTGCTTCATGCGGCGTCAAGCTCGGGCTCACCGAAGACGTAGGTGTCGGTCTACGACAGCAACGTCCTCCGGCCCAACGTCGAAATCGGAACGTACCAGTTTGACGTCATGAGCATCTATTGCCGCGTATATGATATCCCTGTCGCTCCAACGACGACATCTCACAGGTCGTGCGGTAGCCCCAACGCGAGGTGCACCGGCAATGGCTCGCACTGGTCGACCACAAGAGCAAGAAGGACAAGGGCATCCAAGTACCAAACCCCTAACCCTTGCATTTGGACGCGACTCGAGATATGTAGGGCTATCTGCTTGTGAGCATCGCGATCGTCGGGCCGGGCGAAGCATTTCCGGTGCACGAAGCCATCCAGGACAACTCGACCAAGGACATCCACGACCTCGTCTTGCTCCCGCCGGCGATCACGCAATCGCTTCACTTTCTTGTCGTGACTGTGTTTGCGGCCGAAGAGCTCCCGGCGCTCGATACACCGACGCTCCTCTCGGCAGCCGGCATCGACGCCTTTGTCCGCGTCGACTTTGCGGGCAATTTCAAGTGCAAGACGAGCGTCATCTCGGTCAAAGGAACGCAGAACTTGTCGGCAACGTTCCTCGAAGCGCTTTGGATTCCCGTGCTCATGCCCACGATGAGCCGCCGCATCAGCATCAGTGTCCGCGACCGCGAGCTCGGGCGATCCAGCAAGGTCGTGGGGCAGAGCATCGTGGACTTTCTACAGCTGCCAGTGATCGACGCCGACCTCGCCGACGCGGCCAACGTCAATCTAGTGGAGCAAACGTCGCTGCGGTACATCAATTTGTACGGGCCGCCGTTGCAGGCCAACCAGCACTCGGATGCGTGCAAGCACATGAAGCAGTTTCCCGAACACGCCTCGACGTACCGCGGCCGAGTGCTCGTGAGCCTCGCCCACGTGCAGCGGCCGGCGCCCGACGAGGACGAAAAGACGCACGTCAAGGAGGTGGCGATCGACGACTGGGACGCATTGCGGCCGCCCATGACTCGCTACGTGCTCCGCGTCGCACTCTATTTCGGCCAAGACGTACCGCAGGTGCGACTGCGCACCGGTCTCTACGCCAAGCTGTTTGTGGTCGTCAGTGTCGGCCACTACGCTGTGCGTTTTGACGCGATGCCAGTCAAGTACACCACTGGATGCTACGTTTGTCACGTCTGCTTGATACCTTGATATCTAGGCACGGGCGTGTCGTCTGGGGCGCGGCGCTGGAAGCCAAGAACATTGAGCTCCCGGCCAACTTGACGCAGCTACCAGACGTCGTTGTGACGCTGTGCCGCGAGTCCAACGACGCAGACGACCTCCACGGCATCGCGTATGCGCGCATCCGCAGCGGCGACCTCGTCCAAGCCGGCTTCCAAGTCCCGATGCGCTGGCTGCACTTGCTCGAGGAAGTCGCGCGGCCTCCCGGGTTACTTCCAGGGCAGTCGCCCGGCTCGCTCCTCCTGCGCGTCGCCTTTGGCCGCGAGGAGATTGCCGCGCGCGAAGCATGGGTCACGCCGTTCAACGCGATCTCCGAGACGCTGCCGTGCATCGTCCGCGTGCACATCTACCAGTGTCGCGGCCTCTTTGCCAAGTCGACGACCAAGCACGGGCTGCCCGACCCGCAGATCTTGGTGCATCTCATGCACGAGACGAAAAAGACGAAAGCAAAGCGGCGGACACTCGACCCACTCTACTACGAATCCCTCCAGTTCAACGTGGATGTGCCGAGCAACTTGGAGTTTGCGCCCGAGCTCTGGCTCCAAGTACACGCCTTGATACCGTGCGATCATCGTCGTCATGGGGCGCGTAGGTGGTGTCGAAAACCGGCTACAGCAGCAGCACGACCAAGTACTTGGGCGACTTGCGCATACCGCTGTCGAAAGCGACCAAGACGACGTCCGTGCCGTACCCGGCGTGGCACACACTACGCTCCGACACCAACGTCCTCGAGGACCTCGGGGTGACGGGGGAGATCTTGTTGTCATTACAGCTACTCGTCAACCCGACGGCCGACGAGCGATCGATTCCGCTGCCGTCGATCGTGCCCGAGTGCCGAGATGCGTTCGTCGACATTATCGCCATGGGTGTCCGCAACCTCAAGTCCAACCGGCTCTTCCACATCCAGGTACGACCTCTTTCCATGATGGATCTTTTTACCAAAACGAAATGAAAAGAATCCGTTTGTGGAGTTTGAACTCACGGGCGCGGCGTCCGCGAGTCGTGAGAACGCCGAGCGCCGCACCAAGGCGAGCCACGAGCCCGAGAGCAAGAACGCGAATTTCCTTGAGCGTCTCGTGATCCCGACGCGCCTTCCGATCGACACCCTCTTCAGTCCGCAGCTCGTGCTCAAGGTCTCTCCATCTCATATTATCAATGTATCAAGCCGAGTGCGGTAGGTGTACGACAGCACCATGGGCGGACTGCACCAGCCGCTCATTGCGTCGTGCGTGATCGACTTGACAAAAAAGCTGCCGTGGAGTCCGAGCTACGAGCCGCCGCTGCAGCAAGAGTTTGATTACCACCTCCAGCTCGAGAAGCAGCGCAACCGCCAGGCGCAACAGCAGCTCAGCAACGCCGCCGAGCAAGCCGACGAGAACGATGATGACGCCAAAGACGATGCCTCCGACGACAACGGTACGCTGCATCCAATGGCAGGCTCCACTGACGTGGCGAGTTAGACGTGGTCGTGGACGACGACAGTGCGTCCGGCAGCGACAGTGAAGACGACGACCCAGCCAAGGTAACGTCCCCAACACGATTGAAGAGCCGAGCAAAGGTGTGCGAACTGCAGGAGAGCGAGACGCAGCCCGCGGTCCGTGACGACGGCACGGGCATTGGCACGCTCCAGTTGCCACCCGTGTCGTACGAGCCATCGCTCGCGTCCCGGGACGACCCCGCCGTGCAAAAGCAGCTTCAGGCCGAGGCCGACCGGCGCCTCTTTGCGTCGGTGGAGGACGCCAAGAAGAAGGGCCGCGTGTACATTGTCCCTGGCAGCAACAGCGACGTGTTATCGGCGGATATGGCCGCCAAGAAGGGCTATGACACGCCGCCATACTTTGCCGGTCGGGACTGGTGGATCCAAGTACGAGATTCTTTTGTTTCACAAAAGGGGTGGGAGGCTCAACGACACACAATTCCTAGTCGGGCGGGAAGGAGCTCGAAGAGTACCTCAAGACCAAGCCGTTCGAGACGTACCCGCTCTTCCGCGCCCACACGGTCCTTGGCTCCCTCTTTCGCCGTCGAAAGGAGCGCATCCAGATTCAAACGGGCGTCTTCAAGGGCCTCGTAGTCGTGACGCTCGAGTCCAACAAGCAGAGCCTCCTGGTGGACTACACGTCGCTGACCGAGCCCAAGCCGTACGAGGTGCGGATCTACGTCCTCCGTGCGACGAATCTGCAGCCGAAAGACCGGAACGGCCTCAGCGATCCGTACTTGCGCCTTCAGCTGGGTCAAAACAAAGTCAACGACCGCGACCAGCACCAAACGAAGACGTTAAACCCCGACTTTTACCGTCTCTTTACCGTTGAAGCGACGATTCCAGGTTGGTGGCTTCCCTTTGACGTTGCCAAGTGTTGTATGTAGGCACGTCGCAGCTCTCGATTTCGGTCTGGGACCACGATCGATTTGGCACTGACGATTTTATTGGCGAGACGATCATCGACCTCGAAGACCGGTGGTTCCACAAGCAGTGGCAAGACATTGGCCTGGGCCACCCCAAGGCAACCACCCACCTCGTACGACAACACTCATGTCCGGCATGTAGCTCAAAGCCGCGGGAACGCTCAAGCCGATCGAGTACCGGCCGCTCTGGACGGGCAAGGACGCGACGTCGCAGGGCACGCTGCAGCTGTGGGTCGACATCCTCACGCCGTCGCAAGCGGCCATCTACGAACCGATCGACATTGCGCCGCCGCCGCCAAAGAAATTTGAAGTCCGCGTCGTGATTTGGAAATCGGAGGGCGTCGTCGACAAGGACGTACGACGATGACGCGGTCCTCGTCCATTTCTGACGCGTCTCTGTAGCTGAGCGAGACCAATGACTTGTTTGTCAAGGCGTGGATGGAAGGCCAGAAGGCGCAGTCGACCGACATCCACTGGCGCTGCTCGACGGGCAAGGCGAGCTGGAACTACCGCATGAAGTTTGAAGTCCAGATGCCCATGAAGCCCGAGTTTGCGCGCTTGCATCTGCAGCTCTGGGAGAAGGACCTTTTGAAATGGCAAGACATTATCGGTACAGTGTCATATTATAGGAGTCGATTGCGCAGTACGATCCTATTTTTCTTCTACTAGGCGGCACAGAGCTCGACTTGTACCGCTGGCTCCAGCTCGCCTACCATGAGAACCGAACAGTGATGCCATTCAAAGAAATGAAGCACGCGGCGCAGGTCCTCAATGACGACAGCGACGTTGAGAGCGGGAGCGACGACGACAACCAGACTACGGACGTCGACTTGGAGAAGAACGAAGTGACCAAGCCGCTCCTCAACGACAAAAAATCAGCGTCGCGTCTCGGGAAGCTCCAAACACTGCTGCGGAAAAACGGCAGCTCGAAAGCCCGTGGCGGAAAGGGTGGTGTCCCCAACGCGCAGCAAAAGGCCGACAAGCGCGCGGCCAAGGAAGAAAACGAGGCCAAAGAAGCCATTGGCTCCTTCCTTGTACATGCTTGACCAACGCTACACCCGCGGTCACGGCCTCTTCTAGGACTTCATTGGGCTCGGGCGCCTCCACGACGACTCCGAGTGGCTCACGATGCGCTTCAACAACCGCGCCGAAGGCAAGTCGGAGGAGATGGGCAAGCTTGCGATTGGCATCCAGATTGTCACGGAAGCCGAGTTCACAGCGACGCCCGTCGGAAGCGGGCGCAAGGAGCCCAACATCAACCCATACCTGCCGCCGACTGTCGGGCGCATCAAGCTCAGCGCCAACCCCTTCAACGTCCTGCGCGAACTCGTACGCGCTTGCCTATGACATGGCCGCCTCACGAGTGCGTAGGTCGGGCCCAAGACGTGTGCACGCATTGCCTGCGTTATGTGCTGCGTGGGCTGCCTCAGCTTCATGGCGCTCTTCGGTGCGAGCATCATGAGCGCGCTGACTTTCTACGAGCAAATGAAGGCGCGCGCCGAAGCGGCCGAGGGCCGGCAGCCATAACCAACACATGACTTTATACACACGCTTCGTCAGGTTGTATCTATACTCGCCGCATGCACGCGGACCGCCGATTAGGATTGAGCAAACAAACTCAAAAAGTCCTACGCAAAATGACACTCCACGCAACGGTTGAGAATCAGGGACGTACCTTGCCGAGGGACGTATTGAGCGAGACGTCGGGCGGCCCCGAAAAGTTAAAGTCATCCAATTGCAAGTCGGATGCGTTCTCGGTGCGGAGTCGCCACGCCGGTGCCTCGTCCGTCTCGGGCACCGCGTCCACGGGCCTAAACACCGGTCGAGTCACTCTGAATGTGGCTACTAGACGTACATGCTGCGCGGGATCCACTGCGCACTCGGGTGCTGCACGGGCTTGAAGGCCTCGTCCTTGGGCGTGCCGTGGCTATGTCGTTGGAGTACTCGATACAATGATGACTCGTCAGAGGATGCGCCCACCTCGCCGACGACCGCGCCTGCCGCCGACGGTCCGGCGTTGTCTACGAGACGTAAACGCCGCAGTCGTTCAAGAGTGCGCTACCTTGAAAATCATCGGATCTTCGGCGCGCGACTGCAGCGTCTTGCGGAGCTCGTCAATCGCAATCACATTGGCGGGTGGGGGTTGCCGCGGCCGGCCGCGGCGCGCCCGCGACGACGGAGTGGACTTGCGCGTGCCGTCTTCGTTGGTGACTTCAATGCGAAAGGGCAGCGGGACGTTTTCGTCGACGGCTTCAAACCCATCCCGGCGTGGGTCGTGGCTCTGCCGCCGCGCCGACCGCCGCGACCGAAACCGATTGATCGTGTCTTGGAGCTACACAGGTTGCCAACTACTGCACGCTTGTATTCGGTGCAACACGCGTACGCTTTGCTCGTTGATCTCGCACGACGACGGCGTCACGGGCTCCTGCGCCATCGGCTTGTGCCGTGACGGCGGGCGGTGCGCGCGCTTGGTCGTCCTCGACACCTTGCGCTCGTCGTCGTCGTCGTCGTCGTCAACGTCCTTGGCATCGACGAGGTGCGTCGGAAATGCGTGGCGCTGGCGTGACGGCGGGCGATCAAACGCCTACGACCATCGTCGTCGTCGTCTCCATCCTATGGCCAAGCGTACTTCGTCCATGTCGTCGGCCGGCGACGTCTGCCGCGAGCTGCCCGCCGAGAGGTTGCGCTGGTTGCCGCTGCTGCTGCTATCCTTGGGCACGTACTTGTACTGGCTTCCGTTCGTCGCGTCGATCTCGTAGTCGTAGACATTGTCCAAGTCGCACAGCTCGTTGTTGTCCTTCTGGAACGAGCTCGCGTGGAATGGGAACGACGCGAGAATGTTGGTGGCGCTCGAGACGCCGTGGTCGCCCCAATGGAACGAGCGCGCCCGCGCCTTGGTCAGGCTCACCTTGGGCTCGGTCGGCGCGCGCGTTGACGCCCGGTACTTGGCCTCGACGCTTGGCCGCTCGACTCGATGGTCGTCGTCGCTCGGGCTCTCGATGCGCCTCTCATGCAAGTACTTTTGCGGTCGCGACCGCGGCTTGCGCTTCTCGGCGAAGAGGAAGGTCTCGGCGTCGCACATGCTCTCCATGCTGCTGCTTTGTCGGTTGCAACTAATTTTGGCTCGGCCACGCGATTGGTCTCTTCCACGCTAACGATAGCAGCCTCCACTTGACATGGAGCGCCTCCAGGTGTACCTCTCGATCGTGCTCGATGAAGCCGAGGTGAAGAAGCTCCTTTCGACGCTGGCGCTGCCCCGCGGAAGCTGGTACCGCCTTCAAACGATCGACCATCTCGTCGACAAGACGACGCATGTGTTGCTGTCTGCCAACGCCGAGGCGAGCCGGTTTCTCTGCAGCCGCTACCAGTGGGTCTCGCCAGCAGCTACTGTCAACTAGCATGCTCTTGGACTAGGAAAGGAGTCCAGCGCATTCTTGCGAGCCGCATCGTGGTCGTTCGCGCGCAAAAGTACGTGGCGTTGCCAGCGACGAGCACGGTCCAACGTGACACCTACCTCGATCACCGTCTCTATGCTCCATATTGTCGTCGTTTCGCATGACACATTGTATGTAGTCGACCCCTTCGACGACTGTTCCCAGCACCCGGCTGCCCAGCGCAGTACGTCTTGCCGACTTCTAAGGAATGGATCGTGATGGCATCAACAGACAACAACGACGACGACGCTCTACCAAACGAGATGGTATGTCCTCGTACTGCATTGAATTGGAACGGAGCTCAACCCGTATGGTAGACGCCAACGATTCCGCTTGCCTACGTCATGGAGCTTCTCGACATCCTGGGCGACGACGTGGCGCGCGTGCGCGACTTGTTCGAGGCGCACGCCAGACACCAGCGCGTGAGTCTCGAAGGCATGACTGACATCCTTACATCCGATGGGTACGATCTACGATGGAGCTTTCTGTGTACAATGCGACCAATAGCTCCCACGTGGCGCTGGACCTCGTGCTGCGACTGGTCTCGGACATGGTCCAGAGCCGCACTGTGGCGCTGCAATCGCCGCCATTCGACCTCAAGGCGCACGTACTTGGCTACACGGATGTGCTCTCGGTTTACGTCGTCTTCCACCGGCAGTACTTCAATCGATGACGCGCCATGCGTAGCCTTTGGGTTGCAGTTTGCACCTTTCTCGTGTTGACCACGGCGCACTGGCAGCGCATGGCTTTACAGCCACGAGAATAAAGATATCTTGGGTTATTGCGCATCGGCTATCAGCTGGTTTCGAGGGCTCCCCAAGCTACTTTTGTCGTCCCGACGATCTTCGTGCTCGCCGCCAAGGGAACACGGTTCGGGATTTATTGAAGTGATATAGACTTTGCTAGTACGTAGGAGTTCCCTGCGCGCCTCATTTACATTCAAATGTGCACTTCGGATTCGCCAATTTCGACTTTGGTATCTTGTCACATTGCACTTTGCGATCCCACCACGAGGGTGAAACGCATGCGACGAAACGGTCTTGTCCGGATATTGGGGGGATAAGAAATCCGGTTCTTAGCCCAATGCGTATCCGTTCTGATTGTGCATTCGACGATGCGCTCGTTAACGCTGGCCCGTCGCCTGCGCCCTCTCGTCCGGAGCTTCCACGCGTCGACGCCGACGGCCGATGCAATCCTCATGGAGGACGAGTACGGTCTCATGGAGGCGAGCAAGCAAGTCTTCCACGTCCCGTCGTTCACGCTCGAGAGCGGCGTGACGCTGGAGGACGTGACCGTCAACTACAAGACGTTTGGCGAGCTCAACGCTGCGCGGGACAACGTGCTCGTCGTGTGCCATGCGCTCACAGGCAACGCGGCGCTCGACACTTGGTGGGGCAGCCTCCTTGGCGACGGCAAGCCCTTTGACACGGCCAAGTACCACGTTGTGTGCGCGAACTTTCTCGGCTCGTGCTACGGCACAACAGGACCGACGTCCGTCAACCCGTCCACCCAGCGCCCGTACGGGTCATCCTTCCCGCTCACGACGATCCGCGACAGCGTCGGACTGCACTTGCGCCTCGTCCGCGACGAGATTGGCGCCAAGAAGGTCCTGCACGGCGAGGACGATGTATATGCTCACGCATGTCTGTCATAGATTGCCGCTGTCATTGGCGGGTCCCTTGGCGGTATGCAAGCCCTCGAGTGGGGCTTCCTCGGGAAAGGACTTGTCCAGCGCGTCGGCGTCATCGCGTGCGGCGCGCGCCATACCGCGTGGCAGATTGGCATGAGCGAAGTCCAGCGCCAAGCCATCTACCGGGTACAGCCCTCTCGTAGAAACGAAGAAGCTCAGTCGAGGGGTGTAGGACCCGCTGTACTGCGGTGGCCACTACGACCCGTCGCGACCGCCAAAAGATGGCCTCGCCATCGCGCGCCAAATGGCCATGCTCACGTACCGCACGCACCGCGTGTACGCCGAACGCTACGGTCGCGAGACGCACCCCGACGGCCGCTTCGCCGTGCAGTCGTACCTCGACTACCAAGGCGACAAGTTTCTCACGCGCTTTGACGCCAACGCGTACGTGGCGGTCACGAAATCGATGGACACGCACGACGTCGGGCGCGGGCGCGGCGGCGTCGACGCCGCCTTGGCGACGCTGCGCGACTTGCCCGTCTCGATCGTCGGCATCGACTCGGACCTGCTGTACCCGATCTCGGAGCAAATCGAGCTCCACGAGCGCATCCCCAACTCGACGTTGCATGTCGTGTCGTCGCCGCACGGCCACGACGGCTTTCTCCTCGAGCAGGACGCTGTCGCATCTGCCGTGCGCGCGCTCTTGGCCCAAAATTAAGCGAGCACGACTGGACGCCGACTACCCAGCGTTCGGTCGCTGGCTTCTCGCCGCCTACGCTCGAGTAATAGTGTTGTTGTACAAACCAAACCCTTTCATGGACCATCGCACCATCTGCCACCAGGTTTTCGACACAGGCCGTGGATGTATCAAAACATCAATTGTTTGAAATCCCATTTATATATCATTGTATCGATTATGGGACATGATACATCGACTTGACAACAGAGCGGTGTCGTCGTAGCGCAAAATAACACTTCACTCCACACGCCGATGCTCGCTGAGCGCATGGACCGCTTCGAGGACGCCGATCGCGAGCTCAGGCGACTGCGCATGCAGCGCGTGCCACGCGTCGGTGCTCAAATGCAGCACCGTGCACGACGACGACGCGACAAACGGTGATCGCATCCGCGTTCCATCCAGAATCGCGCCCGAGCCGACGGCGACGTCACCGACCGTACCGGTGCCGGCACAGAGAAACCACCAGCGACCGAGCCCCGGTGCGAACGGGCTGCCCTTCGGGAGGAGGCGGAGCTCCAAGAAGTCGATCGCGCGATCGAGACGGTACGTGTCGACGAGCCGGCCCATGACGTCGACCTCGCGCGTGAGAAGAAACTTGAGCCACAGCGACCGCTTGGCCGCGCTGTCGCCATGGCTCTTGTGTGAGGTGGGGGACGGGAAGAGCGGTGCGAGCGCCTCGGGCATGCGGTTGAGCTGGATGCGCAGATCGCGCCGGGCCGCGAACGCTTCGACTTGGCGAAACGAGCGCAAAAAGAGTTGTCGACCGCGAGCACGTGCTCGAAGTCGAGGTGCAGCACGCTGAAGTGGTGGTTGCGCCACAGCTTCTCGATCTTGTGGACGAGGTACTTGGACGTGGCAAAGCAGAGGTAGCCCTGGAGATGGATCGCAAACCCGTTCGGCGACGCAAAGTGGTACGAGCGCACGCAGCCGACGGCGTTGAGCTGGAAGACGAGGTGGATGCTCGAGAGCACGAGCCCAACACCGACGCTCTGGAGCGTCCCGACCGTAAGAAACGTCAGAAAGACGGCAAAGACGACGCCGCACTCCATGCCGGGCAGCGACTTTAGCGGCGCCAACAAGTACTTGAGCAGAAAGTGGACGCCAATGTGCAGCAAGAGCCCGCCAAACACGAATTTCGGCACGTGCACGAGGCACCCGAGCCCGACGACCCAGAGCGAAAGCAAGAGCGCCGAGCAGAGCAGCACGGGCGCGCGCGGGTGCGCTTTGAATGTCCCGAGGAGCCCCATGGCCGAGAGGTAGTGGCAACCGCCCGTGCAGCCGAGGAGGCCGCTCACAATGTTGGCCCCGCCAATGGCCTTCATTTCGCGGTCGACGGGCACGTCGCGATCAAAGAGGAACGAGAGCGACCGGACGAGCACCGAGTACTTGAGCGCACCGAGGAGGAGCAGCGTCGGGAGGCCGCGGCCGAGGGCGTGGAAGAGCACGCGCCACTGCACGAGGTCCCACTCGATCGTGGTCCACGAGTACCAGCGCGGCGTCTCGGCGAGCATCTGCGGCGTCCAGTCAAAGAGCATCGCGCTCGTCTCGTAGCCACCGATCGCCGCGACGAGGTGGAAGCCGAGGACGGACCCGACGAGCAACACGGGCAAGTAGACGGTCGGTGGGACGTGCAAGTGGTCCGCACTGTGCGACGCAGTGGCAAAGAGGAGCGCGGGAAGCACGAGGAGGACGCACTCGCGCGTCATGGAGAGCGTCTCTCGCGCCGCCATGTGCACGCCGTCTTTGACCAAGACGCCGCCAATGCCCGAGAGAAAGCCCGTGATGACTAGGGATAATATGAGCGAAGAGGAGGTGCATGGAGAGTCGTCTACCTGGGAATGGGATGTAGTGCGTGAGCGATGAGAGACGGAGCTTCCCGACCGTGCATACGCAGAGCCCGACCGTGATGGACGCCAGCGATATGGCCACAAAGAGCGTTGGAAGCACGGTCGTCATGTCGTTGTGCAGAGCTTTCGCAATGTGCTGCGCCATCTCGCCGAGGACGGGCGCGCTACAGTCTTTTAGCATCGCAGAATCGCATACAGGTCATTCGTACATGGAGACATCGATCGCGGCCATGGCCCATGGCGCATGGCTTTTCCAGCACATGTAGAGGCACATGAGGCACGTGCCGAGCAGGTGCATGTCGATGACCTTGGCCAAGTGCATGCTCAGTGGCCCACTATGGCCGACGACGACGCTGGCGCACGAAACGGCGATCGTCGACGAGAGGAGGAAGACGACGACGCCGGCGAGGACGTTGAGGCCGACCTCGCGCATGCGCTTCTCGGTGGCCGGCGTCGCGGCCGTCGGCGACAGCGTCCCGTACGACGGCGAGTCCGGGTCGATCTGCACGACAAGCGGCTCGGCCTTGGCGACGAGCGCCTGCAGGGACGGCCGGCGCACGAGCGGCGTCGTTGACTCGAGGTCCATGGCCAAAGATATTTAATGGGCAGCTGGGTGCGGTGTGAAACCTCCGGCCACGATTTAAGCGAATTGCACTTCAACATCTGCTTGCCTGGCATGCCATTGGCGGATATTATGGCGCATGCGGCGAAATGGCGTCGCAATTCGCACAGGCAAGTACCATGGAGGTTGAAGTTCAAGGCACGACGCGACATGTAGCTTTGGCGATGGCCGAAGAATAGCGGTGGCGCCAGACGAGGTACTAATAACGTTCTCGTTAATAGCTACTGGATGTAGAGCTTGGATTACACCACCGCCGTGGATTCTCTGCAGGTGCTTCTTCGATCCTCCTACAAGATGGCGATCGCGTCGTGCGTGATCGTGAGCGTGCTGCTGCGACGGCCCGGCAGCAGCGTGTTGGGCTTGATCGCGTCCGACTTGCGATAATGGTGGTACACGGCCGCAACGAGTGCGAGCACTGCAACGACGCTGAGGACGCTGACGGTGATGCTGGTCGTCGGCGACGACGGCGACGAAGACGCGGTTTCCGCGACGTGGGTGCCGGATGTGGCGCCATCCTCGCGCTTGTCGATGGCCGCAAGCGTCGGGGCTGGCGTCGGTGCGGGTGTGACCACGGCAGTCGTGACGGCAGTGGCATTGCTGTCGGTGGTGTTGGCGCCGTCCAACACGAACTGTCCCTTCTCGGGCACGAACGTGTCATTATTGTGCAGCGTTTCGGTCGTCGACACCGGCTTGGTTGTGGTCGGTGTCGTGGTGGGGGCGACGGTGGTTGGTGCCGGCGTTTCTGTTGTCGGTGCCGGTGTCGGTGCCGGTGTCGGTGCCGGTGTCGGTGCCGGCGTCGGGGCGGGTGTCGGCGCCGGTGTTGGTGGCGTAAACTTCCAATTGACGCCGTCCACGGACAAGCCAAAGTGCGCTTCGAAGCCTTGCTTGGCTGTGACGTCTTGGAACTGAAAGTAGAACGGACAGTCGGCGCCCGACGTCGCCGTCCACGCCGTGTAGCTGTTGTAGTAGTTTTGCGCCGTCGCAAAGCTGATGACGGGTGCGCCGTACGAGACTCCGGACGTCGGCCACCCCGTCTCGGTAAGCTTGACCCTGCTCTTCCCGTACGCCGCGACGACAGCGTTGTAGCGAGTCGAGAGGTCCTGGATCGGAAAGAGCACCGCGAGCGGCGAGGACCCAAAGAACGGGTAGATGTTGACGCCGACAACGTCGCACACGGCCGCGAGCTCGGGGTTGTTTAGAAAGTCGCCATCCGTTTGGACCGACCCCACGGGTACGGATGTGATGCCGTTCGCGATGAGGGCACCGCGCACGGCCTGGACTTCGGCAATCACTTGGCTGGCGTTCCAGCCATGCAAGAGCTCTTCGTTGCCAACGTACACCGCGAGGACCGTGCCCGGGTGGGCCTTGATGCCAGCGACTATCGCCGCCACGTCGTTGGCAAAGATATACGGATCGCGGATCCAGACGCCAGCGGCGACTTTGAGGTTCGCGGCGGCGGCTTCCGCAATGAGGTTCAAGCCGCTGACGTACGTCTGGTACGTGCGGACCGCGTCAAACTTGGTGCGGATCATGCGAAAGTCGGATGCGACCTGCGACGTTGCGAGGTACGAGTCGTAGCAAATGCCCGTCAAGCTCACCGCACGTGCGGCGACGCAGGCGACGAGAAGCGGTCGCAGCATTCCTTCAAAATCGAGTTTGCACTTTCTGCATCGCAGCCACTATATTTAGCGGAGAGAAATTTATTTGAGTGGCATGGCTATCTTTAGTCAACCGACCGCGACGCAAGCGATGGCGCGCGTCGGAAAACGACGCCGGGGAAACCTGTCCTTGATTCCGTCTCGTTCGTGAGTTCCCACCCAGGGAATTTATTGTCCTTGGTTACTGCTTGGTATCGATTAGGTCGCGTACACTGTACACGAGCGATGGACTTCTCGTGGGTCCACGCACCGTAACGCACGGTTGAAGTTCTTTTTCTATGCTTTGTAAAGTTGATGAGGTATCTTTGGTGGTGGCAAGGCTGAAGAAAAGGCTTGGTCGCTGACCGTATCTCGAGCTCCGATGCGCCCCCGTGATGCGTGATGGGATCCCTTGTCATGTGGCGATGTTAATTCGATCCGAGCTAGCTGCCACCTGCCTGTATTGCCGACGGGGCGTCTCTGCAGAAGAAGTGGAGGCTTGGTGGCAGCGAAACTTCCGAAATCTTCCGAGCCCGATCTTTGCGCTGTTCAGATTGCCATTGTGGCAACGATCTTTGCGCTGTTCAGATTGCCATTGTGGCAACGCGCCGTACCAGTCTGGTATAAATCGTGGTCGAATCTGACAACCGACGCACAACAACTCGTACTGGTGATTGCCAGGCATGGCTTCCACGCGGCAGCTTTGGCGGCAAGATCGTCGGCGTGCAAAACCTTCTATACTTAATTTTCCAACGAAAATATCGAGTTTTGCGGGTTGGCTAGTTTTCTTTCTGAAGGTTTAGAGCGATGATGGAGCCGGCGCCCGACGTCAAGGCCGCGGCCGCGGCCATGAACGACCGCTCGCATGGCCTTCACTTTGGTGCGATGGAAACCTCTTGCGAAGAAGACTTGGCTCATGCGCCTGCGGTAGATGTCACGGTCGGCGAAGACGACCTCGAGGATGGTACCATGTCCCCGAAAGGTAGACGACGACCATGGCCTCCAAGGCTCAGGATGCGTGCTCTTAGCCCAGGACACGCTGCTTCATGGCAACGGCAAGGATGGCCGCCCGGCACTGGGCCTCTGCGGCTGCTTCACCCTTGGCTTTTACCAACCCGTACGCTGCCTCGTATGCACCTTTCGCACTCAATATGGTGCTATGTAGTACTTTAACGTCGACACGGTCGACATTCAAGTGCGCTTGACGCGCGCGCTGATCCCGTTCAAGAAGGACCCGTCCTTCAAGGACCTCGCGCTCGCCAACCCGGACGCGTACGGCCCGTTTTGGCTCTCGGCGACGTTGATCTTTTGCCTGGCGAGCTGCTCCAACATTGCGTCGTGGCTCGATTACGAAGGCGACGACCCGAGCAAGTGGTCGTACGACTTTAGCTACGTGGCGACGTCGATGACGATGGTCGGTATCTACCTCCTCGGCCTTCCGCTGGCGCTCTGGTCGGTCGGCAAGTACATCTCGGTGCCCCTCCCGCTCTCGTTCCTTGTCTGCCTCTACGGCTACTCGCTCAGCATCTTCATCCCGACCATGGTCCTTGCTCGTGCTCGAGGCGTCGTTTTGTCTTACTTGATTGTGTGTTTAGTTTGTGTGCACGGCGCCCTCGGACGCGGCCGACTGGGTCATGATGCTCTTCGCGATGGCGTGGTCGCTGCTCTTCCTCCTCACCAACATGTGGGGCTACATTGCCGAGTACTTGCCGAAAGAAAAGCTCCTCCCACTGCTCTCCTTTATCGGGTACGACTCGATCCTCCTCCCATTGCATGCGGCTGCACGGTGTTCCTAGGACGACGCATTTGGTGTGGGTCGTCTTGCTCAAGCTTCTCTTCTTTTAAATACATTTCGCCTCGGCTCACGTCGCAACTACGGCGGCGGCTGCAGGTGCTTCGCCATCGACGCGCAGCTCTAACCGACCATACTGGGTGGTCTCTTCCGCGGCCATGACGTCGGAGAGAATGTCGTCTTCGAGGGTCGTCTCGGCGAGCATGCTTTGGTGTTCTACGCCATCGGTGTGCACATGTACTAGGAGAGGCGCGCTACCTTCTTCGTCGAGGTCGTCAAAGTCAATGCCGGTTGGCGCGTGCTTGGGCAAGAGCTCCTTGCGATTCCTAACGCATGCGGCGTGAGCACGAATGGCCAATGGAGGATCGAAGACTTTAGAAAGACGGCCAGGCGGGCGTATTGGACCGTGTTGCGGAGGAGCACGACAAAGTCGGCGGCGACTTCTTCGAGCTCTTCGACGACCGACTCTTGCCGAAAGTAGAGCGCAATCGAGACCAGGCTCAGCACTAATTGCCATCAGCTAACGTGCCATGGCAGACGGCGACCTACCGGTGGCGACGACGTCAAACAGGTTGGTCCACTTAAGCCAGTACTTCTACACAGGCCCATACGCATGAGCCATCATGGCCATAGCGATCGTCGATGGCGTACGCGCTTGAGGGCGAGCATGCGGATGAGCACCTCGAGCGTGAGCATGCAGCAGAGTGTGATCTCGAGCGAGATGAAGAGGCTCGAGGCCGGCGAGTGCCAGTGGTTGGCGATGGTCCAGCCCACGCAGGCCACGCTGGTTGCGATCATGGCCAAGTACACGACGCGGTAGAAGGTCGAGAAGTACAGGCGGCTCGCGACCACATTGGCATACTCGGAGCAGGACACGCGATGCGCCATGTATCGCCGGTCCTGGAATAGAAGGAGGGAATTCGGATTTGCGGCAGATATTTTAATTAATTGAAATCAGTTTGCGGGACGGGCCACTACGTTACTCACGCGATCTGAACTCGGCGGTCATTTTCTGATCAAATAAAATACATTCAAGGACATGCCCTAATTAGGATGTGGCAGACAAAAGTAGGACGACATGGGAACCGTGCGGCCAGCTCTGGCGCTTGGCCTGACGCGGCCATAGAGCACGACGCCGCCATGGAGGGTACTATTAGTCGACTGAAGCTAGGAGCCTGGGGAGAGCCAGCGTCAACATGACGTCGGCGCGTGACGTCATCCGAGAGCCAATCAGAAATCGAGCGGCTGCCGGCAAGATGGCGCAGCCGTGGAAGGATGCGCTCTTGGTGTACGTGGCGGCGCCGGCGGAGCATGCCGACGTCGTCTTCTACGACGAGACGGTTGTCGTCGTCAAGGACAAGTATCCCAAGGTACGCTCGCTTCGGCGCGAGGTGGCTAAGCCTGGCTGCAACAGGCCCAGCTGCACCTGCTGGTGCTGCCCCGGCAGCCCATGGCGTTTGGCGTGGAGGGCTTGACGCGAGCGCACATGGGCCTCTTGCAACACATGGAACGACTCCTGCCTACCATCAGCCATGGCACCGATGTGCGCGTGGGCTTCCACGGCGTCCCTTCCATGCGGCAACTGCATCTGCACGTGATTTCGACCGACTTGATCTCGCCGTCGCTCAAAAGGAAGGAGCACTGGAACTCATTTACGACGTCCTTCTTCAAGCCCTTGGCGGATGTGCTCGTGGCGCTAGAGGCGCATGGCTGCGTACCCATCGATGTCACTGCCGAGCACGCCAAGCTCAAGACGCCGCTGGCGTGCCACAAGTGCAGCTCTACCTTTCGCCAGCTCCCGCAGCTCAAAAAGCACCTCGAAACAACGCACCCATGCGAGACGATGGCGCTTGGCTCGATGAAGCGGGCAGCGAACAGCGCGCCACTGTCACCGCCGTCGAAACGAACCAAGGATGCTACCACGTAGCCTTGACAACCGGCGAACGCAAAAAGTATCTTCCTTGCCAACTTCATACTTTTTGCGCAAAGTAGATAGCAGGTCGTTGGCGAGCGATACGTTGGCAACCCTCAACATACCTGCAGGAGCTACATCGTGTCTGCAACGACGGCCCATTGCGCTGGGCCACCTCTGGCTCGTCGTCGCTCCGCAATCGCAGTTAATCCTTCAAGATCTGCGACTGGGTCGGCTAGCGTGAGATCGACCGTGGAATGATTTGTGGGAGGCATCCTTTCGAGAATTGCATGCGAGATACCTTGACACACAAGAGCCCAAAGCAGTCGTCACACCAATAATGTGGACGTCGTCTGTACGCACAATCCGGGGCACGCGAGAGCAGCGTCCTTAGGGCTTTGACTGGGACACCCGGAGCATGGAAGCTCCAATATAGCACTAATAGTCTGTGCTCTGCACCTTTCAACCTCGTTTTCTCGGGCTCTACGCCTCCAACGGCGACATGGCGGAGCAATTCGTACTCTCCAAAGTGTCATCTATCACTGTGCCAAGAACGAGCGACGCGATTTTCAAGTCGGCTTTCGGTCGCCAAGCCCGCAAGAGACGGCGCTAGCTAGGCGTGCAAAATTCGCATCGATTCGGATTGGCTGAAATGACTACGATCATGGACACTGACATCGTTTCATTGGTGCATTCAAAATACAACAGTTCTTCTAGCCAATCCAATACCGTCAACCATTCTGGCGCCAACGTCAAAACTGTCGGCAACGACCTCGGGATCGAGCGAGTGCCAAGGAGACGATTTGCCTGGGTTGAGTTGTCGGCTATTGCTGTTTATGACAAAAGCTTTTGATGAGTTGACTTTATAGATGACCAAGCGTACTCCCGGTCCACCAGGCGCGGACAAGACGCCCAATTTCCCATCGCGCTCGCAACATCGCGCCACTTCCCGCACCTCGCGACTGGCGGCAGCCTCCGCAATTACATCAAGCAGCGCGGCTCACAGCAGATCTTTATTTTTTAGCATTCCGTTCTCCCAAGACGGCTTCTGGAGCTCCGGCAACTCGCAGCAATAGACGACGCTCTTCCCCGTGCACACAGGTCTCAAACTCGAGTCCTTACGTGGCTGTGTGCGCTTGTTTGTGGGCATGTTGGACGTCGTACACGGTCGTATACTAGTTACTTTTTGTGCATCGTGGCCAAGAACTCGAGCGCGTCCTTGCGCTCCTGCTCCTGGCGCGCCTTGGACCAGCCGCAGAGCGAGCTCATCATGCCAATGACCTTCTCCATGACCTCGAGCGACGCGTCCGTGTCGATGTACGCCATGCGCGTGCGGCGCGCGAGCACGTCGACGGCCTTCATCGCGTACTCCTGGCGCACGGCAAAGACGACCTCCGACTCCAAGTACGGGTACTTGGGGTGGAGGCGCTTCGGGTGGTCGCCCGCCTTGCGGTGGAGGAACCCCGTCTTCTCAATCTCGGCGATCTGGAGCGCGCGCGTGCCGTAGTTGCGCATCAAATGCTCGGCAATGTCCTTGTCCATGAGGTACTTTTCACGCAGCGTGACCGTGATCCGGTCAAACTTTTGGCTGCAGACCTCGCCGATGCGGTCGGCGCCAATGAGCTGCATGTCGCGCGTGCTGCACACGGCCTTGGGCACGTCGGCGATGATGTCCTGGAGCTTGTCGATCGTGTCTTGGGCCATGCGGCGGTACGTCGTCCACTTGCCACCGGCGATCGTGAGCATGTTGGACTTGGAGACCTCGAGCACGTGCTCGCGCGAGATCTGCGCCGTGTTCTCGTGGCGCGGGTCCTTGACGAGCGGGCGGATGCCGCTCCAGGCCGAGCGCACGTCGGCGTTCGTGACGGGCACGGCCAGATACCGGTTGGCCTCCTCGATGATAAAGTTGATTTCTTGCTGCGTCGGCGTCGGGAGCATCGTAATGTCCGACTCCGAGTCGGTCGTGCCGGCGATCGTGGCGTTCTCCCACGGCAGGAAAAACTAATGCAACCTTTCATGAGCAAAAACTCTGCAGGGAGAAGAAGCGTACGAGGACGCGGCCGTCCGACGTCTTGGGGACGATGAGGCCCATGCGGTTGGGGCTGTAGTGGTCCGGAAGCACGACATGGACACCGGCCGCGGGCACGCAAATGTTCTGCGCGTCCGGGTTGTCCATCTTGCGGATCGCGTCCGTGAACGGACCCGTCGCGTTCACGACCGCCTTGCATGCAATGTCCCACGTCTTGCCCGTCATGACGTCCTTGACCGTGACGCCGGCGACCTTGCCGTCCGCGTTCTTCTTGATGGACTGAACTTCAATGTAGTTGCCGACCGCGGCGCCGTTCTGGGCCGCTGTCAAGACGATCGAGAGGTTCATGCGCGTGTCGTTCATCTGGCCATCGTAGTAGACAATCGCGCCCTTGAGGCCGTCCTTCTTGAGATTCGGGTACTGGTACATGGCCTCTTCCGCGTCAATGTAGTAGCTGCCCGGCACGAAGCGCTGCGTGCCGGCGACGAGGTCGTACGCCTTGGCGCCGACCCACATGTACGGGATCTCCCACCACGTGTAGATCGGGATCATGATCGGAAGCGGGCGGTTCATGTACGGCGCCGCCGAGAGCATGTGCTTGCGCTCTTCCAACGCTTCCGTGACCTACAATCCATCGACGCATGAGATATACCGTGTGGTCGCGACGGTATAGGTCGTACCAAGTCGAAGGCCGCCTTGTCGAGCTTCATGAAAGCCGTCTCGAGGTAGCGGATGCCGCCGTGGATGAGCTTGGTCGAGCGACCGGACGTGCCAGCGCCAAAGTCGTTGCGCTCGAGGAGCGCGACCTTCATGCCACGCGTCGCCGCGTCCAAGGCGCAGCCGGCGCCCGTCGCGCCGCCGCCAATGACGACGACGTCGAAAGCATCGCTCTCGAGCTTGGCGAGCTGCGTCGCGCGCTCCGGCACCTCCCATGGCACGATGACCGCGCCGTCGTCGCACTCGATGGGCGAGACGAACTTGTAGACGCCGTTCTTGTCCTTGTTGTGCGAGTTGGGGTGGTGGATGCCAGAGTTGAGGCGCGCCGAGGTGGCGAAGGCGCCGGCAGCACCGAGGCCGGCAGCGGCGACGGCGCCGCGGCGCATGGGCGTGGCCAGGCGGAACATGGGGATGGCAGACGAAGGGAAAATTCTCTAATGGCCACTGCCACTTCAAGGTCGATTAACCGGAGATCTATCCGGATACGCCAACCCAGGTGTTTCGTCATCCGCATAAACAAGCAACGCGCGCTCATTGGTCCAAAAGCGGTGGATTTTTCTCACTGGATACTGGCGAATCTCGTTTCGGCCTTTCTGCTGCAAGGAGGCCCAGGGACGACGATGCGACGATGATGGCGACGATGCCACCGGACTACATGTATCGCAGTCTACCTACTATTACATGTATGTATAGAGGCGGTAGCGAAGTGGAGGAGGGCGAAGAGACGAGAAGGAAAAGTGCGGGACAGCACCGATCTGCGGGCGTATCGCAAGCTGATGAAATGGATCAACAGGTGAAGAAAGCATGTGACATAGAGCAATCACTTGTTCGAGGCGGGCCGGCCCACGCGCCAGCAGCTCGCCTCAATGAAAGGTGAGGTGTCGACGCGCGCATCATTCCGCCCGCCCCTCATTGCGTCGTCGTCGGAAGAAGAACCATCACATGGGTGCCACAGCCTCTCGACCACAAGGCGCGTGCAAGTTAAGCCAAGAGCGCCAGCCCAGTTAAAGCCTTGGTGACACCATGTGATCTTCGATCCATGGATTCTTCTTCCTACCTTGGAGCGCGCTTCTACCCCCTGTCGGGCTCCTTCAATTACGCCATGCAAAAGTCGTTTTCGGGTCCGCGGCGTCGACGCCATGCTTACTTGACACGTCCGGACTCTGTCGACGGTGGTGGGACTGCAAATGGTCGAGGATCCTGGGTCAATCATTCCCCTGATCCTCCCAGGCTCTACGTGCTGTACCGGTAGCCATCGCTAGCGAGCCGACAACATCGAGCCAGAGGAGTGGTCCATGTAATAGTAATCTGTTTTACTTGTGCTCGGGCTTGACGTATTCACAGCGGTAGCAGACGCACTTGCCGTTCACCGCCGGGCAGCTCATGGCGCGACTGTGGTTGGTGTACCGGCGGTGTGCGTGGCAAAACTCGCGGTCGCACTTGGAGCAAAAGTGCAAAATGAGCGCATCGAGAAACTCGAGGGCGGCCGTCTTGGGCATCGTCGGGTCGGCGCAGAGGTAGCACTGGTTGCGGAGCACGCTCGAGCGCTTCTTATCGAGCGTCGCGGGCGCCGTGCGGACTGGGAGACTCACCATGTACGTCGACTGCGACGAGCGCGACTTGAGCCCAAACGCGTTCGTGGCCTCGACGACAAACTTGTAGGTTTCGCCATACCGCAGCGGCGAGAGGCGGCACACGGTCGGCAGCGGCAGCGACGTCATCTTGAGGTACTGGTGGTTGTCCTTCTCGTCCGTGTACCGGACGCAGTAGCACACTATGGGCACACCGTTCTCGACCGGCTTTTCCCACGAGACGCGGACGCGGGCTTCGGTCAGCGACGGGTTCGCCGGGTCTTCATGCTCAACCTCGACGACGACGCGCGTCGGCGACATGGGCGGGAGCCGGCGAAAGACGCGCAGGAGGAAGTTGACGTCGCCGTAAATGTACGCACGCATCGGGAAGAAGATGAGCGCGCCCATGAGGAGCACCTCGTCGAGCCACCAGAGATAGCTCTTGACCGCGCCAAAAAACGAGATATCGTCGTCGACGTCGATGGGATGTGGCGGCGATACGCCACGGGTCAAAGGCCCCGACGACGGCACGGCGGGGCACTCGAGCTCGACGCGCATGCTGCGACCAAAGGCGTTCCACGCCGTAATGCGAAAGTCGTCGTGCTCGGTCGCGAGCTCGCTGTAGCTCGTTTGCTTGCCAAAAAAGCAGTCTCCCACACGTTGTTTCGCTGCACTTGGACCTGGTACGACGGCGACGGGCGCTCGTCGACGGTCTTCCATGACAGCTTGTACTTGGGCGACCGTGACGGCTTTTGGCTCACACGGCACGTGGGCTCCTGCGCCATGTGCGGGACTAGGACGCTCGTGAGATGGCGATGATTCAGGCGGTAGCGCTCACCTTTGCCAACGCCGGCGATCTTGCGCTTCATCATGAGCGCGAGCTGGTGCCGGTGCAAGCCGGACGAGACGCCGAGGTCCTTGAGCCGCTCGCCGTTATTGTCCATGAGCAGCGGAAAGGTGTAGCCCGACACAAAGTGTTTGCGAAAGTTGTCGTAGTACTGCGGCAGCTGCACAGAGTAGGAAACCCAGTCGGCAACCTCCTCCACCGTCATCTCGGACCCAAGCTCGTCCCAGCGCGACTCGAGCTCCGCGACCGAGATGTACGAGTCGGCGTTGGCGTCGAGCTGGTTGAACTCGCGCGAGACGTGCTCGACCTCGAGCACCTATTGCCGTTGCATGAGCCATGGCGTCGTCATGGCCATGCGTGCCTACCGTGCGCATCTCGTCCTTCTCGAGGCGACCGCTGTTGTCGACGTCAAAGGCGTGCTGCAGCTTCGCCCGCAGGTCTGAGAGCTCGTCCGTGCCCATGATGCCATCGTGGTCGATGTCTTCCATGGCATGCTGCTGCTCGTCGGCGGCGCCGAGCGCTGTGAGCGCCAGGACGACGCCTGCAAGGAGGCCGCAGGGTCGCATGCGTTTGTGGTCGAATTGCGAGCCCGGAGGACAAACTGTAACAGTCTGGAAGTGGAAAGGGCCATGTCTCGTTTTCAATACAATGCTATTACATACAAATGACAAGTGTATTTTAATACCAACGAGCAAATGGCATGGCAGACGCTGATTGGCTGCTTGGCATTCAATTGCAACCAATCACACGCATTGACGCGTTGACATTTCGCGAAAAAGTCACGAAACCTCAAATTTGTTGACACGCGCGTCAACGAAATGAGTCAACGTGTACCCACGATCGCCGCCAGCCAGCCTCGTCGAGGCGCGCAGTGCACGGGCTCATGCATATCCATAGCAGTGTAGCTCCAAGGCTGCTAGTAGTGACACCGACGAGGAGAGCAGCCGTTGCGAGCGTTCAGCAGCCTCAGCTAGAGCGGGCAGGTCCTTTGTGGCCGATGTGTGTCTTTGATGCTGTAGGGTTTCTATTGCAAACGACGGGTGTTAAATTAAAACACGGACGACTCCGTGTGCCTCGACTGCTTGAGCTTCTTCTGTATCAAGTGGGGCACTTCGTCGTACGGCGATCGGAACGGCGAGGGGTCGACCGGTCGCGCCTCGGTTTCTTGGATGTGTCGAAAGGCCGTCTTGGTCGGTGGTGGCGACGCTGGTCGCATGTTCTTGCTCGAATTGCCCACGGCACTCGGTGGTGTCTTGGCGCGCAGCTGGGGCAGCTCGGCGGCACTCCGGCTACGCGGCAGCGTCTCGCTCGACTGCGGGCGTTGGTTGCGCGACGGCTTCTTGATGCCGAGCACCTTGTCGATGGTTTTTGAAGCCTTTTTCCACTTTTTGGTGACTTTGACGTTCTCCATCGTCTGCACAATCGTGTCGCGCTGGATCTTGGAGCGCACGGACGCTTCCTTGCGCTGCCGAATGAGCTCGACCTTTTGCTGGATCATGGCCTCCGTGCGCTCTTCGGCCTCCCGAATCTTGCGCAACGTCTCGAGCCGCTTGTACTCTTGGATGCGCTTCATGCGGTCGACGTTGCTGAGTTTGAGCTGCTTCTGGATCTGCCGCTGCTCGCGCTTGAGCTGCAGCGCACGGTAGTGCGCTTCCTGGACGTTCTGGACGTTCTCGTCGACCTCGCGCTGCCGCTCGAGAAGCTCGGCCTTCTTGCGCTCCTCCTCGCGCCGTGCGTCTTCCAGCACCAGCTGCCGCTTCCGCTCCATGAGCTCCATTTCTTGTTTGGCGAGTTCGCGCTGGCGCTCCTGCTCGGCTTTCACCTGGGCCCGCTGTTGCTCACTCTGGCGCTGCTTCATTTGAATTTCGCGCTTCCGCTGCTTCTCGACGCGGCGCGCTTGGCGGAGGTTGCTGTCGATGCGCGCGGCGACCATCTCCCGGCGCTCCTCCATGTCACGCATGCGCTGTTCCTGCTGCTCCTCCAGCATGCGCTGGCGCGTCTCTTCGGCGACCGTGAGCTCCTCGAGCCGCGCTTGGATCTCGCTCTGCTGCTTGGCAAGAATCGCTTCGGTCTTTTGCTTGTGCTCCTCGGCTTTCTTCTGGCGCTCTTCCTCGCGAAGCTTGGTCTCGATCCTCCGGAGCCGCTCTTGCCGCGCCTTTTGCTCGGCGAGCTCCTTGTCGCGCTGGAACATTTGGGCTGCAATCTGGCGCCGGCGCTCCTCTGCGGCGTCTTCCTGCGCCTTTTTCTGGATCTCCTTGAGCCGCTTCGCCTCGGCGAGCTCCTTCACGCGCAGCGCCTTGTCGTGCTCGATCTGGTCGTGGAGTTGCTTCTCGCGCAAGACCTTTTGCGCGGCCTCTTCTTGGAGGCGGTTCATTTTCATTTCAAACTCGAGCATTTGCTCAATCTCGCGCTGCTGCCGGAACTGGACCTTCTCGAGCCGGCGCTTCTCGAGATCGATCATACTCGACTGCGAATCCGACTTTTTCGGTGGCGAGTTGGACGGCGACCGGTGGCTGCCTGGCACGGCCTCGCTGCTCGCGTCCTCGTCGGCCAAGATCACCTTCTTCTCCGCGCGGACCAGCTTCATTTGGTCGTGCCGGCGCATGCTGTAGGCCTCGTGACGCATCTTTTGCACGGCAGGGCTCACGCCCGCGACCTCGAACGACTCGAGGTCCCGGATCTTGAGCGTCTCGGGGTTCACGCCCGTGCGCAGACAGGCCTCGGCCGACCGCGGCGAGAGCACGATCTTCTCGGGCGGCGGGTTGATGCCATTCGCCTTTTGCGTCGAGACCGACGAGAAGACCTCCTCGATCGTCTGCGGCCGGAGCTTGGACTTGCGCTTCTTGCGCTTCATCCCCTCGTCCGCATGACCGTCGAGGTCGACGATCCCATCCGCGCCCGTTGGCATGCTTCGACTCGTTGGATTGCTGATTCCCAAACGGTCATGTCGGGTGGCTAAAAATAGATTCCCGCGAATTCCGGATGCGTATCTGGAAGTCATGGCAGACTGACAAGCAAATCTCTGCCAGGTCGTTGCGGTCGACAGCGGGCGTATCTGGAGGTCCTTGGCTTCGCAGTCGGCGCGAGTAGAGTGCTTGGAACTGACTAAGGGCGGTCGTAGTGAAGGCAGCGTAATCGGCGCGAGTAGAGTGCTTGGAGCTGATGGAGGGCGTTCGTGGGGAAGACAGCGTGCTGCTCCAAGTCGTTGCACTGCGCTTGCAACTGCTGCACTTGGTTGTTCTTGGACGCGTCAGCGCTCGCAAGCGCTGCGATTTGCTCGTCGTTGGCAGCCACGAGAATGTCGTGGCCCAGTTGCAGCGCCTTGAGGTCGGCGCCAAGGTCATCAACCTCCGACTGACTCCTTGACGAATGCGGTGATTTTGAGGTGGCAGATATCGTGTGTCAATGTGCTCCATGGACCGGTTTGCGTAAAAATTTCGTTGCCGTCGTTGCCGTCACAAGGCTTGTTTCGAGCTCGAGGATGTGAGCATTCGACTCGGTCGTCACCGCCGCCACTTGGGCTTCCAGCGCCGCGATGCGCGCCGTGGCGGTCGTAGCTGGAGTCGATGGTGTTGTTGTTGGGATGGACGAGTAGCCGGTTGCGTGCGCACGGGTGGGTGAGACGTCGGTGCAGCTGCTTTTGAAGGAGCCCGAGCCGTTGGTGGCGTCCCTTGGAGAGGCATGGTCTCTCGGATGCGGGTGGGCTCCAACATCGTCTTGGAGGCGGCGTTGCTGGAGCTGTTCCAGCGGGGCTTGTCATGGTTGTCGTCAGTGCGAATTGAAAAATGAACTTTGAAAAGTATTTTTGACGTGTAGAGGTCGCTTTTGCCGGCGTAAAAGCTTATGGCAATGACATTT